CTTAGAAACATAATCAAGGGCCGGTGCTGAGTAATGTCGGGAGCCTCTCACCTGCATGTGTCTTCCATGGCCCAGGTTGGACCACTCAGGTGCCTGCAGGTCAAGGGGAGATTCTGAAGGGTTGAGAAAAAGTCCTTCCCAGCGGCTCGACAGGGTGGCCGCCAGCCATGTGTGGCTACTGAGCAGTGGACATGAAGCCGGTGTCCCCTGGGAGGGACTGCAGGATGGAAACACACACTGGACTCAGAAGACATGGTATGAACAAAGGGTGTACGATATCTTGTTGAACGTTTTTTCCATGGAAGACACTTTCGAATAGGCTGGGTTACAAACAGACACAAACCCGCCCCTGGCAGGGTGGCTCAGTGGGTTGGAGCCTCATTCCACACCCCAAAAGGTGAGGGTTCTATCTCCCATCGGGGCCCAACATACCAAGGTTGCAGGTTTGATCCCTGGTCAAGGTGCAGAGGGGGGGCAACCAGTGGGTGTTTCTCACGCTGATGTTTCTCTCTCTCTGTCTCTCTCCCATTGGTAAACATATCCTCAGGTGAGGATTAAGAAAAAAACACCCAGAGACAAACTTGCAGACACAAAGGACAAGCAGATGGCCGCCAGCTGCGGGGAGGTTTTGCCTGGGTGGAAAAGGTGGAGAGATTAAGTCCAGATTGGCAGTTCCAACATAGTCTAGTGGGTGTAGAGGGAGGTATAATCAATATTATTCTAATAACAGTGGAGGATGTCAGATGGATTACTAGAATTATTTGGGGGAAATGCTTTTTTTTTTTTGGTAAGTTATATAAGTGTCTAACCATTATGTTGTATACCTGAAATGAATATAATGCTAAATGTCAACTGTGATGGAAAAATAAAAATAAAACAAAATAGCTTGGATGAAATAGAGCATATTAGCATAATCAATTTCCATGAGTTTCCATTTGCTATTTTTCATGTACATATTAGGAGATTTTATTTTATTTTATTTTTTAAATTTTTAAAAAGATTTTATTTATTTATCTTTAGGGGGAAGGGAAGGAGAGTGGGACAGAACATGAATGTGTGGTTGCCTCTCGTGGGTCCCCCACTGGGGGGATGAGGGACCAGTTCCACTGGGAACTGGCCTGCAACCCAGGCATGTGCCCTGACTGGGAATCGAACCTCGATCCTTTGGTTCGCAGGCCCTGGCTCAGTCCACTGAGCTACACCAACCATGGCAATATTAGGAGATTTTAAAATGCATACATGGCTTGTATTTGTGGTCTGAATTACATTTTTATGGGATGGAGCTGGCTTACAGAGTGTTATACTGGTTTTGTGACTTCAGCCACGGAGGAAGTCTAGGATACCACAGTTTGTCTCAAATCATCCTCTTGTGGCATTTGTTTATTTCTTGGTTTATCTTTAAAAAGATTTTATTTATTTATTTATTTTTAGAGAGAGGGGAAGGGAGGGAGAAAAGGAGGGAGACAAACGTCAATATGTGGTTGCCTCTCATGTGCCCCCTACTGGAGACCTGGCCTACAACCCAGGCATGTGCCCTGACTGGGAATTGAACCGGCATCTCTTTGGTTCACAGGCTGGCACTCAATCCACTGAGCCACACCAGACAGGGCTTATTTTTATCGAGCTATGGTTGACATGCAACCTTGTGTAAGTTTCAGTGTTGACCGAAAAATCAAAGAGCCTTTCACGGTGAGAGCAACAAGCACTTATTTGGGACCAATAAGAAGACAATCCTGGACCCATGGATTTGGGCCAAAGCCCAAAGAGTGTTGCCATTGGGACACCCAGGCTGGAGGTATTTATGAGAAAGGCAGCAGGAAGAACTACATCAACAGACGGCATTGTCGTTGGCTCCAATAACACAACTCAGTAACGCCGACTCTCAACAATGTTGTTAATTTTTAGTTCAGTAGTCCTGATATTGGCTTTCTCGTTATCTCTCCAAATAGCTCTTTGGGACACCATGTTGCTTAAGCTCAGTGAAGAGGTCTCTTTGTCACCTTTTATCATCTAAAGGTTTGTGGTCTAAGATGTGCAGGCAGTTCCTCTGGGCTGGCAGCCCTGGGTTTATTTTCAGGCAGTTCTGTTTTTATGTCGCTGTTTACAGGAGTAAACAACGTGATTATTTGACACCTTTATACGTTGCGATATGGATGCCACCATCGCTCATACTTCCATCACAGCGCATAATTGTTATTTGCTTGTTTTTGTGGGGAAAACATTTAAGATCTGTTTTTTTTTTTTCAGCAACCTGGAAGTATGTAACACCGTGCTATTGACTCATATTACAATGCTGTGACTTTGATCTTCAGGGAGAATACACACGAACCTCTTCACACTTTGCCCAGACGGGTGTTTATTAACCAGGACACCAAAGATGCTAAAGATAAGACAAAATAAAGATCAGCCCTGGCTGAGTGGCTCAGTTGGTTGGAGCACTGTCCCGTCCACCAGAAAGTTGTAGGCTGGATGCCCAGTTTCTCTCTCCTTCTCCTTCCCCTTCCCCTCTCTCTAAAAAATCAATAAATATATCCTTGCATGAGGATTTTTTAAAAAAATACAGATCAACTGGACTATAATGAGATTTAGAAATTCTGTTCTTTAAAATACACAAGAAGGCCCTGGCTGGTGTAGCTCAGTGGATTGAGCACAGGCTGTGAACAAAAGGGTCGCTGGTTCAATTCCCAGTCAGGGCACATGCCTGGGTTACGGGCCAGGTCCCCAGTAGGGGGCGCACAAGAAGCAACCACACATTAATATTTCTCTCTCTCTCTTTCTCCTTCCCTTCCCCCGTCTCTAAAAATAAATAAGTAAATAAATAAATAAAATCTTTAAAAAGTTCACAAGAAAGTGAAATTTCAGCTAGACTAGAAGATGCTCACAAGGAATGTATCTGAAAAAGAACTCACATACGTAACAAGGAAAGAGAAAGCTTCCTACTGTTTAGTTCAAAAAGGAAAAGATAGTCTACTTCTTTTAATGAGGAAATGAGGAAAAGACCCAAATTGACATTTCAGAAAACTAACAAAGACATAGCCAAATGACCCAAACCATATGAAAATGTCCCCAACTGCGTCAGTCATTGGAGAAATGCAAACTAACCACAACAGTGTCGCTAAAATAAAGAGCGGAAACTTGACAAGTTTTCTGAGAATGTGAAATAACCAGGAAACTGAAATGCTCTGGGTATCCGCTGATACCATTGCTCTGAAAAAATGTTTGGCAGTACCCACAAGAGCTGAATAAACACACAACATGAAAAAAAAACAATTACACTCCTAGGTTTATACCAGCAGAAATGTACATACAGGCCCGTTGAGAGATAGGTATTCAGATATTGAAAACAGCCATAGCTGGTGTAGCTCAGTGGATTAAGCAGAGGCCTGCAAACCAAAGGGTCACCAGTTCAATTCCCAGTCAGGGCACATGCCTGGGTTACGGGCCAGGTCCCCAGTAGGGGGCGCACAAGAAGCAACCACACATTAATGTGTCTCTCCCTCTCTTTCTCCTTCCCTCTCTCTAAAAACAAATAAATACATCTTTAAAAAAATAGACATTGAAAAGCGTTATTATCTATCTTAACCAACCAAACATACACAGACTCATCGAAACAGAGAATCAGCTGATGGGTGCCAGATGGGAAGGGGGTGGGGTTAAGAACAGATCGGTAGTTATAGACAGTCCCTGAGAAGTAAAGTACGGCATAGGAAATAGAGTCAATAATATTGTAATGACCGTCAGATGGGTACTAGACTCTTGAGGGGAAGTACTTTCTGATTTCCATAAACATCTAACTTCTATGCTGTCAGGTTTGTTGCCTAGTTGAGGCGGGGGAAGTACTGGGCGGGGCAGGGTGGGGTACACCACAGACGCAGATTCTATTTTGATCAGTTTTCTGGTTTTCTTGCGGTCTGTTGATTTCACAGGGGGTTTCTTTATGTTTTGGCTCTGTTTGTTTGATTTTTCTCTAAGTTGGCCTTTCGACATCGACCAGCGATGTGAGGGTAAATGAGGACCGATTGGCTTTCAGAAAACAAAACAAAACACAACCCCTGATGTGTAGCTTTTGCCAATGTCTATGGTGTAAATACGGACACTAAGGCAGAGTCTGAGCTACCAACGTGGTGTCACTGAGCGTGGAATTGGAAAGAGATGCCCACAGCCAGGTGTCAGGAGCCGGTCTGAGCTGCCCGGCCCTAGCAGACCACTGAATACAGCCTGAGGTACAGTGAAAACCGAATTAATCCAAAGTCCTGGAACTGGAGGGCTGTCTTAGAGATAAAGTTTAAGTGGGGAGAGGCGGAAGAGTGAGCAGCAAGAGGGTAGAAAAGAGGAAGAGAGAGAAGCGGGAGGGAGAAGACAGGGGCAAAAGGGGACTGGGAGGAGAAGAGAATAGATAAAGAAGATAGATATTTAGATAGATAAGAGATGGATGGATGGATGTTTGGATGGATGGGCGGATAAAGAGACACAGAGAGAGACAAACATCTAGATAGATGGATGATACACAGGTGATTTTTAAAGGAGACATGCATATTTAGACATAAATATAAGATAGATAACTGATAGATGACAGCTCATGATGAACTTTAATACACAGATGTAGACATAGAAGAGAGGTATCAATACATGATAGAAAGCTGGGTAGGTGATGATGATGATGAGAGAGAGAGAAAGAGAGATGGGGGCTAGAAAGAGAGAATCTCATTTGGCCAAAGGATAAGAGGATTTTAGATAAACCGTTAAGAAATAGTATCACGCATGGCTATCAAATGGAACTCAAAGGTTCACCCAGTAACTCCTGGCCTTCCATGTAGGAAAATCACTGGCTTTATAAGTGGTGCTGAGTCAGAATTCTCAGAATAAATGTTGGAAGTTGTGTGTTGTAAATGTCTTCATTTCCCAAGAATCGCACACTGACGTGTCTCGGTGGCAGAGGGGTGCTGTGTGCTGTAACGGGGTCTTGGAGGGGAGGAAGGGAAGGCACAGAAGTGTCAGCAGTGAGACGAGTGCAGCCCTTGGTGAGACCAGGGTGTCCCGTTCGGGAGCTGAGGCTGTGGGCAGAGCCGCCCTGCTGTCCGTCCAGGGACCCAGGAGGAGGCGAGGGGAGCCTCACTCAGCCTCAACGCCCAGGAGGCTGGGCGCCTTCCTCAGCCCCAACCTGGGGAAGATCAGAGACCTACTTACACAGAGTGGAGAGAAAACCAACCACCCGTTGTCTGGGTGGTTTGCTGTTTGAATTGTGGTGGGGAGCCCAGCCCCCCACATCCTGTGCACTTGAAACTTTGGACTGGCCCCTGCTTCGGGTGCGGCTGAGGCATTTTTCTTGCTGTTATCTTTAAAAATTTGTACTTTATTCTTTGCTTCTTTTAATTGTTGGTCAACTACAGTTATCTCTATTTCTCCCCCACCACTTTTCCCCACTCCACCCCCTGGTACTTCCCATCCTCAATCCTTCCCGCTTTTGTCCATGGGTCCTTTCTACATGTTCCTTGCTGGCCCTTCCCCTTCTTTCCCCCCCATTATCATTCTCCGCCCTCCCCTCTGGTTACTGTCAGTTTGTTCTTTATTTTTCATCTTCACCCCCCCACTTTCATTACCTTGTGTCTCAGTGAGTCCGGAGAAGGAAGGGAGGGGGAGATGCTGATGGGAAATCCTCTCCTGGACACACAACCTCCCACAGCCCAGGGCTGCAGGTGGGAACCCTTGGGCAGCTGAGCTTCTCCCCAGCCCAAGTCCAGGCCAGGCTGCCAAGGCTGACAGTCCAGACAACACTGTGACGTTCCTGAGAGCCTCGGCTTCAGGTGAAGGTGGATCAAGGTCAGGAGGTCTTCCTTCCAAGTTCCATCGAGGCCTGAGGATTTGGACGCAAGCGGGTGAGTCCACCTGCAATCCTGGGTTGCCTTCTGGGCTGGACACCAAGGTCCTCCCAGCAGGAGGAGTGAAGGGGCTGAGGAGCAGGAGAATGTGGGTGCCTTGGGAAGGGCTGTGCATCTGGGTCTCCTGGGAACACCAAGAAGCAGAGACCCCTGGGCATTCTAGGATCAGGCTCTGTCCTGCAGACCCCATGGCAGACACTCCCGTTTGGGCTGAGCCAGCTGGGCACACTCAGAAACAGGGGGGTCGTGGGGATCTGAGCAGCTGCTCTGTGTGTGAGGACGAGACCCTGGGCTGCAAGGTGCAGCTAGGGCCAGAATCCAGCTCGAGTACCTGGGCCTGTCCCCGGGGGGCCATGACCCCATCCCAGCCCCAGGAGGAGGACTGGGCAGCAGGGATATTCCAAGTATTCTGATGCAGACTCGCCTTTGTTGAAAATCGAGATAGAGCTGACAGGGAACACTGTGTAAGGTGAAGGTATACAATGTAATGATTTGTGGCATTTACATGCAGTATAATTGCCACTGTAGCTGCGAGGCTCACAAACACCTCCCCAGCCCTGCTTCTGCCCTTCCTCCCAGCACCCAGCTGGGGGCCCCACGTGCCCTCCCTCCCCCAGAACAGCTCCCGCAGCCTCTCTCCTGTAAGGCGTTTAAAGGGGCTCCATCCCTTTAGGGTTTTGCATTTGCTGATGGGGCAGCCCGCCCTCTCCTGTTTGCAGGGCCATGACAGGGGCGGGACGGGGGCGGGGAGATGGGAAGGAAGGTGGTGTTAAGGGCGCATGTTTACTGCACTGACTCCCTTGCTGGAATTTAACACGCAGCTGAACACTAAATGCCTGGAGGGGGGGTCTCAGGCTTCCCATTTTTAATGTGAAGACACGTTGGTGTGAAATGGTGCAACGCTTTGCGCAAGAACAGCGGGCTCGTGTGTGGAGCTGGAACTGAAATTTATGTCAGCTGGTTGTGCAAATCCTTGCCTCTCTGCCTTGTGCCGGGGATTAAAGCGAGGTCCACACCCAGGGGGTCCTCTGGACGTGAGTTCATCCTCATCAGAGCCTGGGGGGAGGAAATAGTTTTGGAAGCCAAGGCCCTCCCCTGTCTTATGAGTGAGAAACGTGGAGAGGACTGGAATCAGCTCTTCCCCTTTGTACAGAGATGTTGATGCAACAACCCGGGATGGGCCCCTGACCAACGCTTCCTCTCCACTGTGGCAGCTCTGTCCTCCACCTCCTGGCTCCAGGACGGTGCCAGCTGCAGGGCTGGCCATGGGTCCAAGTCCCACCTGCCTCTTAGTCCTTGGTGAGTCCAGAATTGCAGGGACAGCATCCTGGGACAAAAGGGTGGAAGCTAGGGGAGGTGTCTTCATCCCTTTTGAGTCCTGACTCAAGCTCAGGGGACTCCCGGTCCCTCCTGGGGGTCTGACCCCTACCTCTGGCCCTGACCCAAGTCTGACCATGGAAGGTTGAGACCCAGAAAAGGGGACCTGGGGTGTGGGGACAGGTTCAGACTGAGGACCTGTTTGGGAGAGGGGACTGGGGCATCGTTGAAACTCAGAGCAAGAAGAAGGGCTGTGCTCAGAGGTGAAGCTGAGGAGGGAGCTGGACACTCTCGGGGGCTGAGTCCTGCCTCCATCAGGGCCCCTGACTGCAGCCCCCGGGGGAGGCCGGGCGCTGGGGCGTTTTTCTCACCACAGCTTCTCTCCCAGTGCTCTGCCTGGGCCAGACCGTCCACACGCAGGAGGGTGAGTCTACCATTTTCAATTCTATTTTTCATGAATGTTGTGTTTTCTGACAAAGTATTAATATTTCTTAGAGGCCTCTGGTGGCTCGTCTTCACCTCGGACGAGACCCAGGCCCCTGTCTCTGTCTGGGTGGGTCTGTCCTCACGCTGTCTGACCCGCTGATCTGGGGAGAGGCAGCCTTTCCTTCACTTCCACACACACCCTGGTCCTGCTGCACCTGACCTCCTCCCAGGCTTATGTCTCCTCTCGCTGGGCTGGTTCACAAGTGGCCTTTGTATTTCAGCTCAGTCCCTTTCCCCTGTGTCTCCCAGACAAGGTCAGTTGTCCCCTGTTGGCCCAGAGACTCCCACACTCACACGGGGTGCATGTCACCCACCGTGCGTGGCTGTGGGTTTGCACGACCCCTTCAACTGCTTCTGTGCTCCCTCTTCCTTCCAGTCAAGGAGGCAGGCGACTGTGTGTGTGAGTGTCGTGTTTGTGGGGTCAGAGGCAGATGGGGCGCCTCTGTAGATGGAGAGGAACTGGGATGTGGATGACCCAGGGAACCAGAGGGGAACCTTGGTCAGCGTCTGCCTCTATCAAGCTTGTGAGACCTGGGTGCCATGTTTCTTTTCAGGGATAAGAGCCCTCTCCTCCCCCCTCCCAGCCACACGGCACACATGGGGCTTCAGGACCCTCAGTACTAGAAATGGGAACAGGCTGCGAGGAAGGTAGAGGATGCAGTGGGAACAGAGCTGAGTGCTGCTCAGAGGATGGCCCTGGAGACAGCAATTCCCACCCACTGGGGTCATGTGACCAATCTGGGTGGAGCTCTACCTCCCTGGCTTTCAGGGGAGCTCTGCAGCCCCCCTTGGTCCCCACAGTGCCACCCAGCTGCCCTTCAGTCCCGGCCCAGGTCACTGCCACATCTCAGACACCTGCTTCTCTGTCCCCACATGTGACCCATCACTCTCACCATCTGCCCCTTCCTTGTCCCCTAGAAAGTGATCGTGAGCAGAGAGAGGTGACTGACTCCTCTTCGCCTCACTCCAGTGTCACCCTGAGAACAGTCTGACATGTGACAAGACTCATGTCACAGGGTCCCGTGTCAGGGGGGTCACTCTGCAGTGATGAGGATTCACAGTCACTGGAGTGGTTGTGGGGGCTGGTGTTTGGGGACAGGATGGTGGGAGGTTCTGAACTGGGTTGTGGGGATGTTTGCACAACTCTGCACGTTTGCTGAAAACATGGAAGTCAACCCAGAAAACAGGGACTGTGAATGTGGTGACTTCCTCCAGAGAGACCCTGAGATCTGCTCTGCTTCCTCCCAGGTCTCCTGCCCAAACCCTCCATCAGGGCCGAGCCAGGCCCTGTGATCCGTAGGGGACAGCCTGTGACCATCGTGTGCCGGGGCCCAGCTGGGGCTGAGCTGTTCCGTCTGGAGGACAAGAATGGCAGAAATGTCCTTCCAGATCAGACAAATGTGTCTCAGCGTGGTCCTCACTGGGCAGAGGCCACATTCCACATCAAGGCTGTGAGTGAGGACACTGCGGGGAGTTATTACTGTCGCTATGTCAGTAGGCCCAGCTGGTCTGAGCGCAGTGACATCCTGGAGCTGAAGGTGACAGACGAGGACGTCTCCACTCCACCCTCAGGTTTGCCCCAGGTCCCTGCACCCTGTCCCCAGCCCTGTCCTCTGTCCCAGGCTCCCTGCCCTCCTGTTGACCCCCAGCCCTGTGGCTCCTCTGCCCCTCTGCACTCCTGTCCCTTGTCCTTCACCCCCAGCTCAGGGCCCAGGAGCCCTGGTCCCATCTGGACACCACGACGGCCTGGAGTACTGAGCCCACATTCTTGTGGACACAGAGCTGCCCCTGCAGGGCTGGGTGGGGAGTGGACGCCCAGAGGTCAGGTGGGGACAGACCCCTGTTGAGGAGACAGGTGTCACACCTCACAGGATGGGGTTTTACTGTCCTTTTTCCTGGGCCAGACTCGGAGGGACCCCAGGAAATGTGTCCTGTATGCGTGATTGATTCTTCTTGGAAACTCATGTGGCCCAGGGGCCAGGAGCAGGGCTGGGTGTTGCTTTGCAGAATTTGGGGGTTGAAGCTGTGTCTCCCCAGTGTGTTCGGGCCTGAGATGTCCTGCACTCAGAGTCCATCAGGGACACTCTGACCCCTCCATGTGCCCCTGGGGTTCACAGGAGCAACTCCACGCTGACTCTGGGGTCAGGAGCAGCTTGGTGGTGGGAGGTGAGGGGAGTGACCACTTCCCCTCAGCAGAACAGAGCAGGGGGCTCCCCTGACTCCTGCCCCCATTTCTCAGGAATGTGAGGGCTCATCTGGGACTGAGTGATGCACTGATGTGGCCTGTGGGTGACGATCAGGGTGGGGAGGGGCCAGGCTGAGTGGGACAGACCCCAGGCAGCCCCCACAGAGCAGCAACCCTCTCCTGCTCTGCTCACGGGAGCCCACAGAGTCGTCACCTCCACCCCCCCTCACACCCACAAAGCCCCCGCCCACAGCTGGTGAGTAGAGACCGCAGCCTGGAGGAATTTTGGGGGGCTCTGATCTGAGATACTGCTCTGGGGTCCAGCCCTCTGCCCTGGGCTTGGAGACTCAGAGAAAGACAAACACCACAGGATCTCACTTCTGTGTGGAGTCTGGTGAACAACACGATGTAACAAAGGAGATAGAATCAGAAGCGCAGACACACAGAACAGAATGACAGCTGTCAGGGGGAGGGGGCTGGGGGCTGGGTAAACAAGGTGAAGAATTATTGGAATAACTCACATATCTGTGTGTATATATGCATACATACACATATATACATGTATGTATTTGATATGCAGACACGACCACAGCCTGCAGACAGCCAGAGGGAAAGGGGGTGTGAGACATGGAAGAAGGGCAAGAAGGCCAGGTCGCTGGGGACAAAAAGAGACTTTCCTCTGGGTGATGGGTGCACAATGCATTGTGCAGATGATGTTTCACTGAGGTGTGCACTTGGAACCTGTATGGTGTTATTGACCAATTTCACCCCAGTAAGTTCAAGTTCAGGAGCAGAGCACAGCAAAGGGCTGGCACAGGCAGGGCGGCACTAACGTTGTGACTGGGACAACTTCACTGGCAGGATGGACGAACTGGGTGTCAGGTTCTGTGGCAGCATTTCCTGCCCACAACTGCCAGTTGTGGGGGCGGTGGTGCTTATCTGACTTCTAAGAGCCCCCGCTTTTTAAAATCTGGAGTAACAAAGCTCAGATTTCTTGCCCAAAGACACAAGGTCATGAAGAGGCAGAAGCAGCCCAGGGTGGACGCAACCCAGGCCCCAGGGTTTGTCCACAACTCTGCAGCGCCCCCTTGTGGGCAGAGTCCTATTACCTCGCAAGGCTGAAGGGCTGAAGGACAGAAGGACAGGGGGCATGGGGACCGAGATCTTCTCAGCTTCCAAACTCCGACCCTAGGAGAAAAGCGACCTCTTGACGGTTGTACCTGGACAGCGACTTTTGTCACCTACAGGCAGAGACTCCGCTCTGGGGGAATCCTGAGCACAGCACTGCTGTGGGGACAGGGAGGTCATTATGCAGGGCCGGGCACTGAACTCTGTTCCCGCGAGACAGGGACTGCGGGACAAGCTCTTACCACCCTCGAGCACATATTTCGTTGTCACCACGTCTGCAGCAGACGCCCCCTAGCGGCGGGCTCGATGCACACGGGGAATCAGGAGAAAGGGTCCCTGTCCGTCCAGTTCTAATGGGGAGAATTAGAACGAGCAGAAGAAAGGCCTATATTGATGTGTCTACATGTGCACATACAAACATAATTTACAGTGTGAAGTTTCAGATTTATAATTTATGTCAGTGCATATATTTAGATTGAATAGTAAATATATGTCATATAATTAATATAACACACATTAACATGATCACAAATGCACATAGGCATTATATATTTTTCATGTATCACTAAAATTAACGTATATAGATTTTCACATATAGACCATATATGATACAATAAAGTGTAATTTGTGAAATGGATATATATGACTTATGCCCTATAAGTTTTTAAATAATTTATTTTAAAACAATTATATAATTTACATGATACCTATACAAGTTAAATCACGTAATTCATACATATTTACATTTACTATCATTATACTGCAATCACGTAATTCATTATAAATAAACACCTTATGCAATTACATGCATGATACGTACACTTCATGCACAAGGAATTTAATTCGAGGTGAATGTCACCCAGGGAAGCTCAGGCTGCGGCGAGCAGAACGGCAGGTGAGTCCTGGATCGCTAACATCACAGGTGCCCAGGGAAGGACGCTCAGGGAGGTGAAGCTTTTTACTTTATTAAAGGGATAGTGAGGACTCAGCCTCCGACAGCGGCGGGGCCGCGGTTCCAGCAGAGGGAACAAGGGACAGTTTGGTCCCTGGGCCTGGACCAAACTCCTCAGTCTGACCACCTGGGACTCGAGTAATGGCGCGCATGCGCAGAGGAGGTAACAGGGACCGAGGGGGGAGAGAGCGCATGCGCCAAGCTCAGACCCTGTCCTGGGCTCTAACCACTGGCCTGCTGGCTGCGGGGCTTAAGGCCACATGAGGGCATCAGCTTGGCTCTCTCCCACGTCCTGCAAGAAGGGAACGCGGTATTGTACCTGCCTCATCCAGTGAGCACGTCGGTAGCCAGCAGTGGTCACTGTGCCCTTGCAAAGTGGCTAGTGCAGTGGAGGGCGTGGCTTTTACGGTTATTTAACTTCAATATCAGTGGACTCAGTAACATGCGTGGTACCAATTTGGATAGGACTGAAATGGTATTTCCATCCCCACAGAAAGTTCCACCAGCAGAGCAGCACCGGGAGTGGGGGGAACAGGTGAGGGTCCCGGAGCCAGGGAGGCCCCCTGGGTGGGGGGCAGGGACACTCGGAGCCTCCTGGGCCCAGCTCTGGCCTTTGACACACGTCCTCCTGATGCCTCACTCCTAGGACACAGGCAGACAGACTCCCCGGACACTGAGACCAGCAGAGAGCGATGGGGTCAGACGGCCATGGACCTGGAGCCTGCCTCTTGGGGGAGGGAGAAACCATGGGTGTCTGTGTCCCTCACATTCCAGCTCCGCCATCTTCCTGTGACAGGATGTCCCCACTCAGGGCCCCGGTTTTGTAAAATGAGGGTGATGGTCCCAGTGTGGCAGGACTACTGGTCACGTGGGAGATTATCCGTGTGGGTGTGAACATGCCCAGCACCCAGCACAGGCATGGTATGCAGTAGGTGCTCAGCAAATGCACGCTGCTGACACCTTGGTTCCATTTTCCCTGCTCCCTCAGGCCTGTCCACGGACCATCTTTATATCCTTGTCGGGGTCTGTGTGGCTTCTCTGCTTTGCCTCCTCCTCCTGGCCCTCCTCTTAGTCCGCCGGCAGCATCAGAAAAAACGTGGTAGGTCTCAGGGTCAGGGCGGGGTCGGGTGAGAAGGTATTTGGGGTTCTGGGAAGACAGCCTCCCTCCTAATTCACACCCCTGACTGTCCTCAGGGCCCCCCAGCAGCAAGGGCGAGGAGCCAAGGCCCCAGGAGAGGTGAGGCTTCCCTGGGGATCACGGGGAACCACCTCCCAGTTCTCTGTCTGCAGGTGCCCCCCTTGCTCACCTGTTCTTCCTCCTCAGGCTCAGCCCCACAGTTGACCTCACAGAGAGCCCAGCAGGTAAACGGACAAGGAGGGGGGCCTCTTGGGAAAAGGGCATTCAGTGCCATTCTGGAGGGTGGGAGGGTGTCTGGGCACATTATAGGCTGTTGTGGAGCAGGAGGGTATGCACTCTGACCCTGTGAACTCTCAGGCATGTTCGGCTTCAAAGGTCTACCCTCAGGAGCTGACCACTGTTCTCTCCCCTCCAGACGTGGCCACCACAGTGGAGGCCCTTGTGGACGAGGAAAACAGGGAGATGCACAGCCCAGTGAGTCCTTGTCTTTGCCACTGGTTTCTGGGTAGCAGGGCACCCCCACTTTAACGGGTTCACAGAATCATCCCAGTGCTTCCAAAACCTCACCAAATCCTGGGTGAGGATTTGGAAGCAGATCGAATGTGCTGGGTGGTGCTGGCTCAGGGACCCTCATGAGGTTGCTGTGCAGAGACCAGGGCTGCACCCAGCTGAAGGCTTGCCCGGGGGCTGCGTGTCCACTTGTGGGGGGCACCCCCCCAGGGCTGGGGGCGGGAGGCCTCAGTTCCTCTGCAGGCAGGTGGGCTCCTCCACGGCAGCCCCCCTCCCCAGAGGGAGAGATCCCAGAGAGGATGGGCCGAAGCCACAGTGTGGTGTGTGGCCCCTCCTTGGAGGCCACAGGCCTCACTGGTGCCATAGTCTGTGGGTCACACAGACCAGCTCTGCCTCTGTGTGGAAGGAGGCCACCCAGTGCAGATTCGGGAGGTGGCATCACAGGGGCCACAGGGAGGCTGGCTGCCCAGTCTTTCCTTCCCACAGCCCCCACCCCTCAGCCTGGGCCACACTCACTTAGCCTGGGTCTGTCCCTCAGAGCCCTGCTGCAGGGGACGCCCAGGAGGTGACCTATGCCGAGCTGGACCAGCGGGCCCTCACACGGAGAGCAGCTCGAGCCGAGTCCCCACAACCCACGGAGCCCACAGCCGAGTCCAGCATGTATGCAGCCCTCCCCAGACACTGACCTCAGGACCACCTGGCCTCTGCCCCTCGAGACGCAGGACGCCACTCTTGCAAAGGCCGGTAGCGGCCACTTGGAGGACTCCCCTGTTAGTCTGTCTCCTTCCTGAAAGGCATCGACACATTTCTCCTGGAGACAAGACCTGGACTTCGGGGACCCCTACTCAACATGTAGGAGGTTTATTAACCAAGAGGCCCCTCCTACAGTGAACCAGCTTGGTGAAGCACACCTGTAACACTTGTTTCCAGAGACCCAGCTACTGGCACCTGGCAGTTTCCAGAGACCCATCTAATGTTTGGCAGCAGTTTCCAGGGACCCATCTAATGCTGTCTAGCACTTTCAAGACACAGTTAATGTACAGCAGTTTCCAGACACCCAGCTAATATGGCCCAGCTCCTGTCTGCAGACCCCGTTTATGCAGTCAAAGTGGCTGCCCCATCAAGTTTAAAGGAGTATTTACCCTGAGAACCGCTAGGGGGCGCAAGCGTCCCATTCGAATTAATTTAGCTTTTTTTTTTTTTTTTAATAGGAAAAAGAAGAAAGTTGCATGCCTGGTACAGTCCTGGTATTTAAAATGTTATTGTATATTAAAAGAATATTTTAAAAGTTCAACCAAAACTCAGCCAGGTTTTTTAAGAGTGCAGTTGCTACTTTAGTTCTGTGAAACATTAGCATATTGACTCCTGGGGCAAACCCTCCATAGCACCCGCGGTCTTTCCTCTGTCTTGTTTTTTAAAAACTAGGGACTGAAATGCTCACTAAGTTGCCCAAGGTCGGCTACCTGTGACCTCAGGGGAGGAAAACATCTCACTAAGCAGGAGGTTTCTGTCCTGGCTCAGAGAGGGTGGGTGTCCAGCCTTCCTCCTCGATTTTAAGTTGTACTGATCTTTAACCTGCCTTTTCTACCCAGGGTCAATTTTCCTCCAGGAATTTGCTTTCCAATTCTCCATTTTTATCTATATTTTCTTGGGGTTCCATCGTGTATTGAGTGTCTGCCTTTCCATCTCTTTGTTACTTTCCATCTATTGGTGCATTAGTGTGGGTTCCACAGGGACACAGAACCAGTAGGTTCTGGTTTACACGTCACCTAGAGACACACGAGTGTAAGGACGGATCCACCACAGGAAGAGGCTCACAGGTGACAGCACCTGCAAGTCCCACCAGCTGCCGTCTGCAGTCTGGACACCCAGGGGAGCCGGTGCTGTAATTCTGACCACAGACGCCGGGTTCCCTGCAGCACACAGGGACGCTGACTGCTGTGGCCACACTGCCCTGAGTCCACAGGGTCACCTCCTGGGTTCTTCCCCAGGGCAGAGCCCGTGGTCTGAACCTTCTATTTCCTGGAGGTGCTGGGTGACTGGGGCTCGGGAACATGGCGCCCTGGGTAGGTGGCGCTGAGACCCAGGATCATAACCCACAGGGGACCTTGGTGTCTGGAGGGGAAGGCACACTCCCAGAGCCCGATGCTCTTCTCCATAAGCAGCAGTGACCACAGGGCTGGGTGACCCCTGGGTTGAGCTCCAGGTCTGGGGAGAGCAGCAGGTCTGTGCTCTTGGAGGGGCTGAGCCCCATCCCATCCAGGAGGACACACAAGCCAGCATCTCAGACACCTCCTCTGTCTCCATCTGAGCTCACCTGGCTGAGCCAGGACAATGAGGACGTCCCTTCCCGATGACCCCAGCTCTTCCTGGGAGGCTGCCTGGTGCTGTGGCCCAGCAGCCCCTCCCTGGCCTGTGACCCTGAGAATCTCAGGTCTCTCCCTCCAGCTCCTGATTCTGCCCTGTCTCCTCCTCATGGGGCTGGGCCTTCCCCTGAGGTCATCATGATATGACTCCATGTTGTGAGGGACAGAGGCTAGGAGTCCCCCTTCTCTCCACACAGTGCCTGTGATCTGTGCCATAAATGGACCCAGAGATGCCCACAGTGTCCAGTTAAATCGAACCCCGACCCCTGTGGTTCATTGCAAACAGAACCTTCCATGAAGCCTCGCACACCAACCTTTGGACAATGTAACTGTCTCTGTAGTGCATTTGCTTCTGTGGACTGAGGGGCTTTTAGTTCAGAAAGACCCGAGCCAGCTGGGCTGCAGGTGGGTGCTGAGCACAGCCCAGGGTCACAGGACACAGAGGGGCACAGAGACAGGGGCATCGTGACTGAGCAGGTGGCCACCTGCCCTGGGGAGCATGTGGGGGGCAGAGTGAGTGTCCTTCCCCAGTGTGACACTCTCCTCTCTGTATCCCCCTAAGTAATAACATGAGGGTCTCAGGAGAGTTGTATGGTTCGCCTTCTGCATGTGGGAAACCACAGTGTTTGCATACGTGTGTAGTTGGGAACGGTCCGGCTGTGGGACCAGAAGCCAAGCCAATAAACACAGAGAAGACAGTGACAGGCTGGTGAGGGTCCCCCATCCCAGCACCCTGCTGGGCTTTGGTGAGTTGGACCCCAGGGGCAGAACCCCAGGGACTAAAGGGGTGGCATCCAGGGTGGGGTCCGGACCCCTCCTCCGTCCTGACTCTGGTCCAGGACCTCCTGGGCCCTGGGAGAGGGGCCATTCCACAGGCCCTGCCCACTCCGGGGCACCTGGGCCTGAGCCTCCAGGGGAGGGACTAGTCTCCTAACCTGACCGTGACCCTGGGAAGGGCGGGTCCCATGGAGAAAGGCCGTGGGATGTCTGGGTGGGAGGTGCCCGGGAGGGTGAGTGAAACCCACTACAGAGGGAGGAAGCTGCCCCCGGGAGTCGTGTGGATGGGGTGGTTTGGGGGTTACCATGGAGGCAAAGTCTTTCCCCGCTGCACACTGACCTTGACCCCCAGGTAAGGGGACTGAATACTGGACATTTTTACCCTGGGCCTTTCCCTGTCCTGCTCTCGGCCTGGGCTGGGCATCCACCCCCAGGAGAGGAGTCATTTTTATACCTCGAATCCCTCCCACCCCAGGGGCAGCTCTGACTGGAGTCCTGTGGGTTTCAGGAGGGACTGAACCCTGGTTACAGGCAAGGAATGTCCCTCCCGAGTCTCTCCTGATGGCTGCAAACACCCCCGGACGTCAGCCCTGGTCTCCAGACGCCTCAGAGCCAATACATGCAAAACTGGACCCTGGTTCTCACCCAGTCCCACCTGAGTCCTCACCAGTCTGCCCCCGTTTTCTCAGTGAGGGTCACTGGTCAGGACCAGGGAACACAGTCACCCTCGATTCTCCGCATGTCCCTCCTCATGTCCCTCCATCCCAGATCCTTGCTGGTTTCCCTCCACGTGTCCTCACATGTCCTCACATGTCCTCACGTGTACCCACATCCCTGCTGGGGACCTTTCCCCAATCTGAGCTCCCTCACCCCCCATGCACAGCAGCAACTGGGGTCCCCAGGGGACAGTCCCTGCCACCTTTGACCTGTTCTGTCCGCCAGGTGAATGTAGAGACAATGTTGGTGACTTTCCTTTCCCTCTGGAACCCTCAACTTCTGGCTGGATTGCAGCCACATCAGGTCCCTTGTCAGTGTGTGTCCCGTGGCCACGTCCACCTCCTGCCACCTCCTGTCCTGCTCTGTCCCAGTCCCTTATCCCCGGACACGGTTGGTTTCTCTTGTCTTCAGTTGACAAACGTGTATTAAAGATATTCACCCAACACAATGAGCAAGGAAGTGGGTGTTTTCCCCCCAGCTGGATACTTTCCTTGGAACAGCGGCCGAGCGTCTGGGATTTTGTCTGGGAGGCACCGTCCCTTTCGGATGCTGCCTTACACAGTCACCTGTCCTTCTGCCAATGGTCTCGTCCTGCCACTAAGAAGAGGCAGGAAGCGCTGTTTCCTTTAGAAGCAGCCCCACTGCTGCCACCTGTGGTCAGGGACAGGACTGTGGGGACACAGGAAACAGGGCCCCCAAAGCCACAGTGGGTGGTGTGTCCTGAGGAGGAAGTGCTACCAGGTGAGAGCCCCTCCCTCAGAGGAGGCTGTCCCAGAGCCCCCTGCTGGCGAGGGCCCTGCTGTGTGTGGGGGTGGGGGGTCCCCCAAGTGCTGACCCATCAGGGGGCTGGCTGGGTGGGGAGGTGACAGGTCAGGCAGGAGGTGGCACTGGCAGCTGAGGACAGAGGAGCCACGGGTGTGGGTCATCAGAGGGAGAGTCGGGGGAGGTGCTTGTGCGGCAGCTGTCTGTCTGCCCAGGGAAAAGGGAAGTCTGGGCGCTTGCTGTCGGGGCACCAGGGATGTTTAGTGCGTTCACGGGGCCTGATGAGAAAGGGGAGCAGGGAGATGCCCCTTCTCTCTGTCAAAGTGACTGTCAGGAAGCATCACAGGCAAACCCCACACCTGCTATGGACCAGGTGTGTCCCTCTGCCTCACACACCAAGGCTCACCAGAGTTCTGTCGTCTCGGCGTGATTTAGAGAATAGAGACCATCCAGTGTCCCGTCCTCCCCTCCCCAGCACCTGCGAGAGGGCCTCTAAGGTCTCCTGTCCTCAGAGTGGGTGCAGGAAGGTCTAGGTGACAAGGGGGACCTGTGAGCCCCTCTGCCAGCACCAAGCACAGACAGCACCTGAGATCTGGGGCCTCAGTCTCCACCCGGCCCTGGTGGGCACAGCCAGCGGCCTCTGCTGCAGCCCCAGCAGGGTTCTGGGCCCGGTCTCAGCCCTGCTGCTGTTCCCTGGGCCCTGGGCAGGGGCACAGCCTCCTGCACCCAGCAGGGCTCCAGTCTCTCCCAGCGTCACACGTGTTGTCCCCAGACTGCACTCAGGATCGTGTGCATGAGAGCTTCCCCTTTGCAGCAGGACATGGATGTAGCAAGTCCCGGAACACCCCTGACCCCACACTTCCTGAGCACTGTGCCGGCTGCAGGCTCCGCCCTTCACCCTCTACCTGCTGGTGGGGCAGGTGCAGGCCTGGCCATGGGCCCCCGTGACAGCCCCCTCCTGGTCCTGGGTGAGTGCTGGACTGGAGGGGTAGAGTCCCGGACGGAGCGGGTGGGAGCCTGGGGAGGCGTCCGCATCCCTGCTGGGTCCTGACTGCAGTCCAGGAGACTCATGGACCCTCCTGGGGGTCAGACCCCTCAGCTCTGGTCCTGACCCACGTCTGAGCATGGAAGGTTGAGTCCTAGAGCAGGGGCCTGGGTGTGGGCACAGGTTCAGACTGAGGACCTGTTTGGGAGAGGGGACTGGGGCGTCGTTGAAACTCAGAGCAAGAAGAAGGGCTGTGCTCAGAGGTGAAGCTGAGGAGGGAGCTGGACACTCTCGGGGGCTGAGTCCTGCCTCCATCAGGGCCCCTGACTGCAGCCCCGGGGGGAGGCCGGGCGCTGGGCGTTTTTCTCACCACAGCTTCTCTCCCAGTGCTCTGCCTGAGCCAGACCGTCCACACGCAGGAGGGTGAGTCTACAGTTTTAAATTCCATTTTTCATGAATGTTGTTTGTTCTGACCAAGTGTAAATATTCCTTAGAGGGCTATGGTGGCTCGTCTTCAGCTCGGATGAGACCCAGGCCCCTGTCTCTGTCTGGGTGGGTCTGTCCTCACGCTGTGTGACCCGCTGATCTGGGGAGAGGCAGCCTTTCCTTCACTTCCACACACACCCTGGTCCCGCTGGACCTGACCTCCTCTCAGGCTCACTGTGTTCTCACTGGGCTGGTTCACCCGTGGCTGTCAGCTCTTTATCCCTTCCCTGTGACTCCCAGACAGGTCAGCTGTCCCTCCTTGTCCCTGTCCCGAGACTCCCACACTCACCTGGGAGTCACCACGTGTGGCTGTCGGTTTGCACGATCCCTTCGTCATCCTCTGTGCTCCCTGGACCCTCCAGACAGGGAGGCAGTTTCCTGTGTGTTAGTCTTGTGTTTGTGGGGCCAGGGGCACATGGGGCCCCTCTGTAGACAGACAGAGAGGAACTAGGATGAAGTGGCAAGGTAGAGAATGCAGTGGGAACAGAGCTGAGTGCTGCTCAGAGGATGGCCCTGGAGACAGGAATTCCCACCCACTGGGGTCATGTGACCAGATCTGGGGGGAGCTCCACCCACCCTGGACTTCCAGGGGAGCTCTGCAGCCCTCATTGGTCCCCACGGTGTCTCCCAGCTGCTCTTCAGTCCTGGACCAGGCCACTCCCACTTCTCTTACTCCTGCCTCCTCGTCCCCACACCTGAACCATCACCCTCACCCTCTGCTCCCCTCTCAGAGTCTCTGTCCCCTAGAGAGTGGTTTTGGCTGGGAGCACTGACCAGGTCTCAGCCTGCACTGACCCTCTCTGCCCCGTGTCACCCTGAGAAAAGCCCAACATGTGACCAGAACTCAGGGTCCTGTGTCAGGGGCATCACTCTGCAGTGATGAGGACTCACAGTCACTGGAGTGGATGTGGGGGGTGGTGTTTGGGGACAGGATGGTGGGAGGTTCTGAATTGGGTGGTGGGGATGCTTGGACAACTCTGCCAGTTTGCTAAAAGGAAAGATGTGAACCCAGAAAATGGGGGTCTGTGATAACTGCTGACTTCCTCCTGAGGGACCCTGAGATCTGCTCTGCATCCTCCCAGGGGTCCTGCCCAAACCCTCCATCAGGGCCGAGCCGGGTCCTGTGATCCGCCGGGGACAGCCTGTGACCATCGTGTGCCGGGGCCCAGCTGCAGTTGACACATTCCGTCTGGAGGAGAAGAACAGAAAAACTGACCTTTGGGATCAGACAGGCACGGTTCATGTGGATTTGCATTGGGCAGAGGCCACATACCACATTGACTCAATGAATGAAAGCACTGCTGGGAGCTATTTCTGCCTCTATCGCAAAGGGCCCCACTGGTCTGAGCGCAGTGACGTCCTGGAGCTGAAGGTGACAGACGAGGATGTCTTCCCTCCACCCTCAGGTTTGCCCCAGGTCCCTGCACCCTGTCCCCAGCCCTGTCCTCTGTCCCATCTCCCTGCCCACCCGCTGGCGCCCAGCCCTGTGGCTCCCCTGCCCCCCTGCACTCCTGTCCCTTGTTCTTCATTGGAACTCAGGTCCCTGGAACCGTTTTCCCATCTGGACGTCAAGGTGGCCTGGACAATGAGGCCCAGCATGGGGTGGGCTGGGAGCTGTCTTGCAAGACTTGGTGGGGAGTGGACTTCCAGGGACAGACCCCCTTCAAGGGACCTTTGGTCCTTTCACTCAGAATGGTTTTCAGATGACTTTGTTCACTTGGACAAACTCCATGGGGCAACAGGCAATGTGTCCCCTGCGGGTGGTCCATCCACCACTGCACAAGTCATGTGGTCCACGGGGTCCCTGACCAGAGCTAGAAGGTGGTTTCAGGACCTCTGGGATGAGGCTGTCCTTCCAGTCTGTGTGGTCAGCTCCTGAGATGTACCGCAGTCAGGGTTTCAATGACCCACTTAGGAATGGTGACGAGGAGGGAGGAATTCTTCCTTCACAACCTGGAACTGTCTCTCCCTTTGCTCTCTATGCTGCTGTGACTCAGACTCCCCTGGGTCAGTGGGCAGGTTCAGAGTATCCTGATCTGTGACCCCTCACTGCCCTGGGGGCATGTGGGGGACACGGTGACCCTGATAGGTGGGGTTAGCCCTCAGGACCTCCTGGCCAAGTGGCCAAGTGAGGTGGGTCCCACCCACCCTGTGTGTGTCTGGACCAAAGAGCAGCTGCTTCACCTGATGTATCAGGGATGGTGGGTCAATCTGAGGGGTGTCCAGCTTCTCAGAAACATAGAAGCAGAGAATTCCATCCAGCTGTCTTCACATGTCCCTGTCCCCATTCCTGGGAGTCCAGGGGGTGTCCTCTGTACTGAGAGGGGCAGAGAAAGAGGCGGGGTGTGGACACTGTGGGAGCTGCAGGGCCAGGCTGAGAGGAACGGGCCCAGGAGGGACCCAGGCTCAGGGCTTCTCCTGCCCCCTCACAGGAGCCCCTCCTGGGCTGGGGAGTGGGGACCTCAGCCTGGGGGACCCCTCCTTGGGGTTCTGCTGGGGAGGGGGCAGCGGGGTGGCAGTGGGGAGGGGTCCTGCTTCTCTCCTGGGGGGTGGACCCTCTGCAGGCAGGGACACTTTGCATTCTCTAGAGGAAGAGGCCTGTTCAGCCTGGGGGTGTGAGATCCGGGAGGGGAGACTCACCCTGGATCCCTGAGCAAGTCTGAGTTTGCACTGGGCCCTGCACTGGGTGCTGTGGTGACTGGTAGTGAAGCCTGGGGGTGCGGACTCAGGGGCCTGGAGGTGGGGGGGCAGGGGCTGGGTGCTCCCAGGGGAGGGAGGGTCTGTGCAGGAGACAAACACTGGTGCTTTCTCAGTCCCAGGAACAGCCCCTGAAGTCACCCCCCCACCCACAGGACCAGTCTCCCAGACAGGTAAGGCACCTGGGAGCATGTCCAGGGCAGTGCTGGAAGGGACGGGCCTGCCCAATAAAGGAGGAGCTCCTGCCTCTCAGGCCCTGGGATTGGCTGATTCTTGTCCACCTCTCAGTGACCCCCTGTCCTCTGCTTCCAGCCCCCGCCTCCCAGAATTACACGGTGGGGAACTGTGTCCGCATTGGCCTGGCTGGCGTGGTGTTGCTGATCCTGGTGGGGATTCTGGCAGAGGCTGGGCGCAGCCGGCACAGGTGGCCCCACGGACCGCAGGGGTGGACAGAAGTGAGCTCCTTCCAGAAAAATTAGTCTCCAAACCCCCAGGAGGGGCCTCCCCTAGAGCCTGAGACTCACACTGGAGCCCCAGAGACCCTGAATCATGTCCATTCTGTGAATTTGACAGTGCTCCAGGTGAGGCTGCCCCGTGCCTGGGACTCTGTCCTCGGAAGTGGCAGGAGCAGCAGGGACCTGCCTCCTGTGTGGTCCGTCTCCTTCCCCAGGGTTTGGCTCTGAGTCAGACACTCACCCCACTCACAGCCCAGCCCCACTGCTGCCCGGGTCTCCTCCCTTCTCTCCTGGGTCTCAGACAGGCCCCAGGTATCTGCAGCCTCTGCCCCCCTCTTCCTCTCCTGGAGCCCTGCCTTCTCACCTGCTCTCTGGGGACCAGGCACGTGCTGCTCAAGACTTTGGTCTCACCCACACCTGTCACCTGTGGGACTGCACCTGCTCTGGGCCCCCACCCACCCACCTCTGTCTCTGGAGTTGTGTCTGCCTCCTGCATCTGAATCCTCACTTCCTACCCGACTTGGATCTAAAGTCCAGGAAATGGACACCAGACAGAACCAGAGTGAATATCACTGCACACTCCTCAGGACGACTGTGGCTGAAATTATTTTTAAATGGTGGGCACTAGACTTACTGGGGGTGGGTAACTTCCTAAGTTATGTAAACGTCTAACCCCCGTGCTGTACACTTGGAATAGTACTCTGTGTCCACTGTAACTGAAGAATAATTAAACGTACTAATGTAAAACAGCAAGTGTGCAAGGCTGTGGAGGAACGGGAGCCCCTGCGCCCCCTGGTGGGGACGCAAAGTGGTGCAGCCTCTGAGTGGGTCTGCAGGCTGTTCCTCAGAACTCGACAGGGAACCTCCATCCACCCAGCAGCCCCAGTCCGGGTTCAGTGGCAGGGAGGTGAGAGCAGGGACCTGGACACTTGTCCCTGTGCCCCCAGGACAGCTTGACTCACAAAGGTCAAGGGCATCACAGGCTCCTCAGAGGTGGAGGAGGAAGCCGACCCTGGGTCCAAGTGTCACCTTCTGAGAAGGACCCACTGGATTTGAAGACAAGTGGGGAAGGGGCCCCATGTCACAGAATTTGAGCTCTCTAGACGCTGGAAGACAAGGGAGGGTCGCTCCCTGGAGCCTCCAGGAGAGAAGGCTGCTGCACACACCTCAAGGTCAGCCTGTTCTGACTCCGTACCTCCTGGACCTGGAGATCACACATCCCAGGACTGTGAGCCACCACACTGATGCGCGTTGTCACAGCAGTGTGGGCGGCGTCAGAAACCTGGTGTCTGACTCTCTGCGGTCTTAGGAAGCCCCCGAGCTTCTGGAAACTTGGGCAGAGGTTTCTGACAAGCCTCTGACCTCGCCCCTGACACTTCTCCCCAACTCGGCCTCCAGAGTGGGAAGCCCAGCCCAGCAGTCAGTGGGCCCTGGCGTCTGGGGGATGCAGCTTGATTCTGAGACACCATATTTGGCTGTGCTGCACCCCAGCTGTGTCCTGGTGCGGCCAGGACTTAGGACAGGAGGAGGGCCAGTCACCTGGTCTCCCGCAGAGAGGGCTGGGCATGGACACTCCAGTCCTCCCCCCCTCCCCCGCACAGACCCCACTCGGGGAGGGGCGGCTCCGTCTGCTCCCCCTGGGGCTGTTCTTCTCCAGGGAAGCGCCGCCCCCTCTCTGCTCGGGTCTGAGCCAGTCTCGGGGAGGTGGGGGCTGCTCCAGGACAGGCGCCCTGCCTGCAAGGTGCCTGTGTCCTGCTGGGAGCTGGGGCCCCCTCCCTGTGAGCTGCCGCTCATGCCCCAGACCTGTCCTCAGAAGGTCCTTCCCCCCCCCCCCACCGGCTGTGCTTTCTGAGACATCCTCACTCTCCTTAGCTGGGCCCCGTCGCCAAGCTTTGTAGATGGACAGGGAGTCCAGGCCCATCTATGCTCCTGCCCTGGACAAGGGGCCCCCACGGTCTTAGGTCCCTTTCACTGGGAACAATATTTAGAAAGCGTGACCTGGGGTTGCATGAACTGAGGACTGCTGCGGTTCTGCTGTGTATGGACCCCTTAGTGTCAGGGAGGATGCACCGCGTCCATCCACACAGGCGTTTCCCAGCTGGGGTGAGGGTACAGGTTCATTTATGTTCTTCCCGTGTCCCTTTTACGAAAACCTAATTCCTTAGAAATTCATAGACTTCCTTTTTATATTTATTGGCTTTACCCTGTAACCATGGTGAGTGAATATCAGTAAGCTCGTATTTGTTTTTATTTGTTTATATTCATGTCAGAGTGTGTTTTTCATCTTTTATATCTTAATTGTGTGTTGCATATGTAGAATATTTTCAGGTTTCAGAAGCGACAACGACCTAGAATGGTGCACTCAGAGATAACCAGGTGATTCTATCCCCTTCCTCTTGTTCCCCTACATATCGTCAGTGGCTATTTTTGTTAGTTTCTGGTTTGCAGAATGAAAAGGAAGAAATGTGAGACAGCAGGTAAATAGACACATAATCTTATTTTACCTACTCTTTCTCTTTTAAAAGATTTTATTTATTTATTTTTAGACAGTGGAAGGGAGAGAGAAAAAGAGGAAAGAAACATCAATTTGTGGTTGCCTCTCAAACCGCCCCCTACTGGAGACCTGGCGTATAACCCAGGCTTGTGCCCTGATTGGGAATCGAACCAGGGACCTCTTGCTTCACAGGCGGGCACCCAATCTCCTGAGCCACACCAGACAGGGCCATGTGTATCTTCTTGATCCACTGATGGGCACTTAGGCTGACTACTTAACATGGCTATGGTGAATAATGCTGCAATAAACATGGCAGTAGTTTTATCTGTTGAGTATCCTGCTTTCATTTCCTTTGGATGTACACCAAGAAGTACATTGCTGCATGCTATGATTGGTCTACATTTTTAACTTTTCGAGGATCCTCCGTACTGTTTTCCATAGTGTCAGGACCCATCACAGGTCATCCCCACACCTGCTCTGGACAAGTTGCGGCCTTTCTGCCTTAAACACTAGGCTCACCACAGTGCTGTTATCTGGGCATCATTTAGAGAACAGAGGCCGTCCAGCATCCCCCCCTCCCCTCCCCAGCACTCAGGAGCGGGCTGCTAAGGGCTCTTTGTCTCCAAAGTGGGTGCAGGAAGTTCTAGGAGACACAGTGAACCTGGGGCCCGTGAATGTCAGGAGAGGCCTCAGGCCCAGCATGGTTCTCTCCTGCCACACGGAATGCAGCCCAGACAGTCCCCAGATCCAGGACACCACATGGGGTGTGATTTCAGAGCCTCTTCCCTCCTCACGTTTCCATAAAGGCAGCGTTGGCTGCAATGGGATGGGAGAACCAGCAGCTTCTCAGAAAACAAAAAAACCACACGCCTCACGACTGCTTGAACTCCCAATGCTGCTTTAGTCCTTTAAGAACAGTGTTGGAGCTCAGCCTCCAGACTCCCTCCCCAAGAGGACAGATGCCGGGAAGAAACAGGAAGCAGCTGGGGGCCATCCCCCAACTAAAGGGGAGAAAAGTGGACATCACTCATCACTTCCCCTTCCCCAAACCAGTCCCAGGATCTCTGCATAACAGTGACCTTCTGCATCTTGTTAAATTAAAAACATTTACTTTAGCAAAAAATCACCCAGGAACTGGAGGGATGATGGGTATAAATACACGTTTATAGATCTCCCCTTGCTTTTCATGCTCAGTGAGGACAGAAAGCACAGGTTTGCCATGGGGCAGGGCTGCCAAGGGGGCAGAATGAGTTGTTGGGGAGGATGTGGGAATTGTCTGGACACTTCCTCATGTCCTGGTCCATCTGCTCCATCCGTGGGAAAACCAGGGAGGCCCTGACTGGTGTAGCTCAGTGAGATGGGTGTCTTCCCACAAACCAGAGCATCTCCGGTTTGATTCCTGGTTAGGGCACATGCTAGACTTGAAGGCTGGGTCCCCGTTTGGGGGCATGTAGTAGGCAAATGATTCGTGTTTCTGTCACACATCGATGTTTCCCTCTCTCCTCCTGTATCTTTCTCTCTAAAAATAAATAAAATCTTAAAATAAAAAAACCACGAACAAACAGAAAGAGAGGACATTGCCAAAGTACAAGTCCTGGCCCCACTTGCTGACCTAAATAGTAGCTGGTCTTTAACCTCAGGGGACCCTGAGGTCACCATGAAGCTGAGACTGAAGCCTCAGGAAGAAGGTCATTCCCTAGAGAGAGCTCTGGGGTCCTGCAGACAGGCCACCTAGTGACCCCGTTGCTGCTGGGTGAGCCCCGCACATGGGGGCCATCTGCCTCGCTGGGGGCAGCACCCACCAGTCTCTGTCAGTTTCTCACACATGACATACCCAACCCTGACTGAGGAAGGTCTGGAATTAGCCCTTCCTCTTTGCATGAGGACATTGATGTAGCAAACTCGGGAACACCACTGACCCCACACTCCCTGGCCACTGCACCAGCTGCAGGCTCTGTCCTCCACTCTCCAGCTTCCAGACGGTGCAGGCTGCAGGGCTGGCCATGGGCCTCCGTCCCAGCTCCCTCCTGGTCCTCGGTGAGAGCTGGAATGAAGGGATACCATCCTGGGACAAATGGGTTGATAACCTGGGGAGGTGTCTTCATTCCTTTTGAGTTCTGACTCCAGCCCAGGAAACTCCTGGTCCCTCCTGAGAGTCTGATCCTTCAGCTCTGGCTCCAACAACCCAAGTCTACCCATGGAAGGCTGGGTCCCAGAATTAGGTACCTGGGAGTGGGACAGGTTCAGACTGAGGACCTGTTTGGGAGAGGGGACTGGGGCTTCACTGAAACTCAGAGCAAGAAGAAGGGCTGTGCTCAGAGGTGAAGCTGAGGAGGGAGCTGGACACTCTCAGGGGCTGAGCCCGGCCTCCATCTGGGCCCCTGACTTCAGCCCCGGGGGGGAGGCCAGGTACTGGGTGTTTGTCTTACAGTAGCTTCTCTTCCAGTGCTCTGCCTGGGCCAGACCGTCCACATGCAGAACAGTAAGTCTACCTTTTAAACTCAATTGCTTTTATATATGTTGTGTTTTCTGGCAAAGTATTAACATTCCTTCGAGTGCTCTGATGGCTTTTCTTCAGCCTCGATGGCACCCAGGCCCTTCTGTCTGTGTCTGGATGGGTCTGTTCCTACGCTGTCTGACCCACTGATCTGCGGAGCTGCCACCTTTCCTTCCACTTCCTCAAACACTGTTGTCCTACTGGCTTCACCCCGTCCCCTCCCTGGCTGACATCCCCTCTCACTGGGCTTGGCAGTTGTCACTTGGGGTCTCAGCTCAGTGCCCCTCCCTGTGACTCTCAGAGGAGGTCAGTGGTCAGTGATCTGCCCCGAGACTCTCACACTCCGGGGGTGCCTGTCACCCACCGTGCGTGGCTGTGCACGACCCCTTCATCGGCCTCTGTGCTCCCTCTTCCTTCCAGTCAAGGAGGCAGGTGACTGTGTGTGTGAGTCTCGTGTTTGTGGGGTCAGAGGCAGATGGGGCGCCTCTGTAGATGGAGAGGAACTGGGATGTGGATGAAAGGATGAGTGAGGGGCTGACCCAGGGAACCAGAGGGGAACCTTGGTCAGCGTCTGCCTTTATCAAGCTTGTGAGACCTGGGTGCCATGTTTCTTTTCAGGGATAAGAGCCCTCTCCTCCCCCCTCCCAGCCACATGGCACACATGGGGCTTCAGGACCCTCAGTACTAGAAATGGGAACAGGCTGCGAGGAAGGTAGAGGATGCAGTGGGAACAGAGCTGAGTGCTGCTCAGAGAACGGCCCTGGAGACGGGAATTCCCACCCACTGGGGTCATGTGACCAATCTGGGTGGAGCTCTACCTCCCTGGCTTTCAGGGGAGCTCTGCAGCCCGCCTTGGTCCCCACAGTGCCACCCAGCTGTGCTTCAGTCCTGGCCCAGGTCACTGCCACATCTCAGACACCTGCTTCTCTGTCCCCACATGTGACCCATCACCCTCACCCTCTGCCCCTTCCTCGTCCCCTAGAAAGTGGTCGTGGGCAGAGAGAGGTGACTGACTCCTCTTCACCTCACTCCAGTGTCACCCTGAGAACAGCCCGACATGTGACAAGACTCATGTCACAGGGTCCTGTGTCAGGGGGGTCACTCTGCAGTGATGAGGCTTCACAGTCACTGGAGTGGTTGTGGGGGTGGTGTTTGGGGAAAGGATGGTGGGAGGTTCTGAACTGGCTTGTGGAGATGGTTGCACAACTCTGCACGTTTGCTGAAAACATGGAAGGGAATCCAGAAAACAGGGACTGTGAATGTGGTGACTTCCTCCAGAGAGACCCTGAGATCTGCTCTGCTTCCTCCCAGGGGTCTTGCCCAAACCCTCCATCAGGTCTGAGCCAGGCCCTGTGATCCGCCGGGGACAGCCTGTGACCATTGTGTGCCTGGGCCCTGCCTGGGCTGAGCTGTTCCGTTTGGTGGATGAGAATGTCAGAAAAGTCCTCCCAGATCAGACAAACGTGTCTCAGCGTGGTCTTCACTGGGCACAGGCCACATTCCACATCAAGGCTGTGAGTGGGGACACTGCGGGGAGTTATCGCTGCCTCTATAACAAAGGGCCCAGCTGGTCTGATCCCAGTGAGATCCTGGAGCTGAAGGTGACAGAGGAGGATGTCTCCACTCTTTTCTCAGGTTTGCCCCAGGTCCCTGCACCCTGTCCCCAGCCCTGTCCTCTGTCCCAGGCTCCCTGCTCCCCTCTGGCCCCCAGCCCTGTGTCTCCCCTCCCCCTCTGCACTCCTGTCCCTTGTCCTTCTCACCTGGTTCATGGTCCTGCAAACTTGATCCTATCTGGACACCATAGTGGTCTGGACACTGAGCTGTCTTGCAGGGTTGGAGAGTGTGAACTTCCAGGGACAGACCCCCTTTAAGGGATCATTGGTCCTTTCACTCAGAATGGTTTCCAGCTGATTTTGTTCACTTGGGCAGAGTCAGTGGGGCCTCAGGCAGCATGTCCCGTGTGGGTGGTCCATCCACCCCTGGGCAAGTCACGGGGTTCATGGGGCCCATGACCAGGTATGGACAGTGCTTTGGTGGACCTCTGGGATGAGGCTGTCCTTCCAGTCTGTGTGGTCAGCCTCCGAGAGGTCCTGCAGTCAGAGTCTAAGTGACCAGCTCAGGGATGGTGACCAGGAGGGAGGAATTCTTCCTTCACAACCTGGAACTGTCTCTCCCTTAGCTCTCTGTGCTGCTGTGACTCAGACTCCCCTGGTTAGTGGCAGGTCCAGTGTATCCTGACCTGTGACCCCTCACTGTCCTGGGGGCCTGTGGGGGACACAGTGACCCTGATAGGTGGGGTTAGCCCTCAGGACTCCTTGACCCTGTGTCCAGGTGAGGTGGGTCCCACCCACCCTGTGTGTGTCTGGACCAGGGAGCACCTGCTTCATGTGATGTATCAGGGATGGTGTGTCATTCTGGGTGGTGTCCAGCTTCTCAGAAACTTGGAAGCAGAGAATTCCATCCCAGTCTCCTAAGGTGCCTGACCCGATTCCTGAGAGTCCAGGGGGCATCCTCTGTACTGAGAGGGGCAGAGAAAGAGGCCAGGTGTGGATACTGTGGGAGCTGCAGGGCCAGGCTGAGAGGGACGGGCCCAGGAGGGACCCAGGCTCAGGGCTTCTCCTGCCCCCTCACAGGAGCCCCTCCTGGGCTGGGGAGTGGGGACCTCAGCCTGGGGCCTCCTCTCTGGGGGCTCTGCTGGGGAGTGGGCAGTAGACTGGCAGTGGGGAGGGGTCCTGCTTCTCTCCTGGGGGGTGGACCCTCTGCAGGCAGGGACACTTTGCATTCTCTAGAGTCAGAGGCCTCTTCAGCCTGGGGGTGTGAGATCCGGGAGGGGAGACTCACCCTGGATCCCTGAGCAAGTCTGAGTTTGCACTGAGCCCTGCACTGGGTGCTGTGGTGACTGGTAGTGACGCCTGGGGGTGCGGACCCAGGGGCCTGGAGGTGGGGAGGGCAGGGGCTGGGTGCTCCCAGGGAAGGGAGGGTCTGTGCAGGAGACAAACACGGGTGCTTTCTCAGTCCCAGGAACAGCCTCTGAAGTCACCCCCCCACCCACAGGACCAGTCTCCCAGACGGGTAAGGCACCTGGGAGCATGTCCAGGGCAGTGCTGGAAGGGATGGGCCTGCCCAATAAAGGAGGAGCTCCTGCCTCTCAGGCCCTGGGATTGGCTGATTCTTGTCCACCTCTCAGTGACTCCCTGTCCTGTGTTTCCAGCCCCCTCCTCCCAGAATTACACGGTGGGGAACTATGTCTGCATGGGCCTGGCTGGCGTGGTGTTGCTGATCCTGGTGGGGATTCTGGCAGAGGCTGCGCACAGCCGGCACAGGTGGCCACACAGACCACAGGAGTGGACACAACTGAGCTCCTGCCAGAGAAATTAGACTCCAAACCCCCAGGAGGGTCCTTGCCCAAGGCCCCAGGCTCCCAATGGAGCCCAAGAGACCCAGAATCATGTCCATTCTGTGAATTTGACAATGCTCCAGGTGAGGCTGCCCCGTGCCTGGGACTCTGTCCTGGGAAGTGGCAGGAGCAGCAGGGACCTGCCTCCTGTGTGGTCCGTCTCCTTCCCCAGGGTTTGGCTCTGAGTCAGACACTCACCCCACTCACAGCCCAGCCCCACTGCTGCCCGGGTCTCCTCCCTTCTCTCCTGGGTCTCAGACAGGCCCCAGGTATCTGCAGCCTCTGCCCCCCTCTTCCTCTCCTGGAGCCCTGCCTTCTCACCTGCTCTCTGGGGACCAGGCACATGCTGCTCAAGACTTTTGTCTCACCCACACCTGTCACCTGTGGGACTGTGCCTGTTCTGGGCCCCGGCCCACCCACCTATGTTCCTGGAGTGGTGTCTGCCTCCTGCATCTGAATCCTCACTTCCCACCTGACTTGGATCTAAAGTCCAGGGAAGGGACTCAGCCGAAAAACCACAGTGAGGTATCACTGCAGACTCCTCAGGACGACTCTGGCTGAAATTATTTTTAAATGGTGGGCACTAGACTCACTGGGGGCGGGGGTCACTTCCTAAGGTATGTAAATGTCTAACCCCTGTGCTGTACACTTGGAACAGTACACTGTAGTCCACTGTAACTGAAGAATAATTAAACGTACTAATGTAAAAATAGCAAGTGTGCAAGGCTGTGGAGGAACGGGAGCCCCTGCGCCCCCTGGTGGGGACACAAAGTGGTGCAGGCTCTGAGCGGATCTGCAGGCCGTTCCTCAGAACTCGACAGGGAACCTCCACCCACCCAGCAGCCCCAGTCCGGGTTCAGGGGCAGGGAGGTGAGAGTAGGGACGTGGACACTTGTCCCTGTGCCCCCAGGACAGCGTGACTCACAAAGGTCAAGGGCATCACAGGCTCCTCAGAGGTGGAGGAGGAAGCAGACAAGGTCCCAGAGACACCTCCTGAGAAGGACCCACTGACTTTGAAAACATGGGGGGCAGGGGCCAGAGTCACAGAACACGGGGTCTCTAGACGCTGGAAGACAAGGGAGGGTCGCTCCCCGGAGCCTCCAGGAGAGAAGGCTGCTGCACACACCTCAAGGTCAGCCCGTTCTGACTCCCCACCTCCTGGACCCCGAGATCACACATTCCAGGACTGTGAGCAGTGAGCGACCACACTGGTGCGCATTTGTCACAGCAGCGCGGGGAGTCTCCGGAGCCTGGCCTCCGACCCTCTGGGGTCTCAGGAAGCCTCCCAGCTTCCAAAAATTGGGGCAGAGGTTTCTGACAAGCCTCTGACCTCACTCCTGACACTTCACCCAAAGTACGCCTCGAGAGTGGGAAGCCCAGCCCGGCAGGCGGTGGGCTCCGTTGTTGGGGAGACGCAGCTTGATTCTGAGACGCCCAGTGTGTGGCCCCGCTGAACCCGCGCTGGGTCCCCGCGAGGCCTGGACCCAGGACAGGACGAGGGCCACTCACCTGGTCTCCCACATACAGGGCTGGGCAGGGATAGTCCCGCCCTCCCCTGTCCCCAGACGGACCTCACTGATGGAGGGGTCCAGCTCCCTCTGCTCCCCCTGGGGCCCCTCCTCTCCAGGGAAGCGCCGCCCCCTCTCTGCTCGGGTCTGAGCCAGTCTCGGGGAGGTGGGGGCTGCTCCAGGGAAGGCGCGCTGCCTGCAAGGTGTCTGCGTCCTGCTGGGAGCTGGGTCTCCTCCCTGTGAGATGGCGCTCGTTCCCCAGACCTGTCCTCGGAAGGTCCTTTCCCGCTGACTTTCTGAGACATCCTCGCTCTCCTTAGCTGGGCCCTTTGTAGAATGACAGGGATCCTGGGCCCATCTGTGCTCCTGCCCTGAACCAGAGCCCCCTAGTTCTTGGGTCCCCTTTATGGACAGCATGACCTGGGCTTACGTGAGCTGAGGACGGCTGGGGTTTTGCTGTGTATGGACCCCTTAGTGTCAGGGAGGACGCACCGCGTCCATCCATTTCCCACCTGGGGTGAGGGTACAGGTTCATTTATGTTGGACCCTTATTTGAAATGCAATTCCTAGCAAATTCATAGATTTCCTCTTTTGTTTGTTTCATCGTGTAGCTGTGGTGATTGAATATCAATAACTCCTGATTACTTTTACTAGCTTATATTCATGTCAGAGTGTGTTTTTTCCGCCTTTTGACTTCATGGTATCTTGAATATGTAGGATATTTTAAGGTTCCTGAAGTTCCAGCCTCATAGAATGGTACACCCAGAGACGGACACTTGAGTCTCTCCCCTACACTCTTCACCCCCACATATCGGAAGTATGCGTGGGGTAAACTAACAACCTATGTTTGATAGTTTCTGGTTTTCAGAAAGAAAAAAATAGCACGTGAGAAGCAGGTAAACAGACACATAATCTTATTTTATCTATTTCCTCATTTTTAGAGATTTTATTTATTTATTTTTAGAGAGACAGGAAGGGAAGGATAAAGAGATAAACATCAATGTGTGGTTACCTCTTTCACGCCCCCTACTGGGGACCTGGCCTGCAACCCAGGCCTGTGTCCTGACTGGGAATCGAACTAGCAATCCTTTGGTTCACGAGTGGGCACTCAATCCACTGAGCTACACCTTCCAGGGCACAGATTTTATTTTTAAACATATGCACCCTAACACTTAGTTGGTTTTTCCTCAACTCTGTAAAGGGTTCGACTATTTATCTCTTGCACTATTACTAGGTTTTCACTTCTTTCCTTCTAACTTGTAATACATGTGCTTTGTCCTAATTCTGGTCTCCAAGTATCTTGAATCTCCACTTCTGGTCTCTGCGCACTTCATTCTGGAAATTTCTTCAACGTCATACTCTGTTTTCATCAATGTTTCTTCAGCTGAGTCTAGTCCTTGATGGGTTTAATGTTTTGAACGTGTTCATTCTGTTGTGTTGTTCACCTCTAAAATTTCTTTTTTTTTACTTTTCTAAAAAGATTTTGTTTATTTATCTTTAGAGAGGAAGGGAAGGAGAGAGGGAGAGAAATATCAATGTATGGTTGCTTCTTGTGTGTCCCCTGCTGGGAACTGGCCTGCAACCCAGACATGTGCCGTGGCTGGGAATTGAACTAGGATCCTTTGCTTCTCAGGCCTGAGCTCAATCCACTGAGCTACACCAGCCAGGGCGGGATTCATGTTTTGAATGTGTTCATTCTGTTGTGTTGTTCACCTCTAAAATTTCTAAATCTTCTCAACCGTCTCCTATTCTTCTGTAATATAATCCACACTATTGCCTGAAACATTTAATATCCCTCTGTATTTTTACAGATATTTAAACATGCTTAAGTTAAATTTCCTCTCATGTTTCCTACTGGCTTTCTTTCATTTCGTGTGACAGTTCCCAGTGTCAGTAGATGGTGTCCATAGTTCTGTCTGTTACCATTAGGATTTCTCCACTGTCCACTCTTGTAGGAGCTCCTCCCCTTACACACCTGGTCCCCCCTGGGTTCTCCAGGGCTGTCCTGGGAGTCAGACTGACCAGGGCTCCAGTGGACACGGCCCCTGCCCCATGGCGTCCACTCCCTCAGACTCAGCACCTGCTGAGCATTGTGTTAGGCAGGGATGGGTAATGCTGACCTCATGCTCACATGGGGGACACCCAGTCACGTCATAAAAAAACCCAGCAAAAAAATCTGTTTCACACACACACACACACACACACACACACACACACACACACGGGGGAGATGATGACTCAGGGCGAACGTGTCAGTGAGCAGAGCCAACCCTGTGCCTGCCCCCCTCCTGTGAGAACCTGGGGTCCCTGGCCGCCCCCCCCCCCCCCCCCCGGCCTGCAGGAGTGGGAGTTTCCATCCTACGACCCTGCTGGCTCCGGGCACTGGCTGCTACTCAGCTTTGTTCTCTGTTCTTTCTGTTCTTTCTTGTGGTTTTCTGACTATCTGGGGAACTTTCACTTCTCTTTTCCAGAAAGTGACTACTTCTTCCTGTTTCAGAAGTGTCGTAAGTAGCACTTCAGGTATTTGAAGCAGACCGGGGCTCTGAGGTGGACACGGTACATGTTTCTCTGCACTGTGGAGGCTGAAGCCGGGAGCCTCTCCTGTCTGCACCTGGTCTGCCGGGGAACCGTGACCCAGACCTTCCCCGGAACCAGGAACCGGGACACCGGCAGCCGCTCTGAGGAGAGGAATTTGCGACAGCATGAGCCAAACAAGGAAACAGACAAGAGATTATTATCTGGGCCTCCCAGGCAGCAGATGAGAGGTGAATATTTACACAACGGTCATCTTTTGCTTAAGAAAAAAATGAACCTCGAATGCCCTGGCGGGGTAGCTCAGTTGGTTAGAGCATTATCCCAATATGTCAAGGTTGTGGGTTCAATCCCTGGTCAGGGATCCAACAAGAAGTGACCAATGAATGCATCAATAAGTGGAACAACCAATCAATTTCTCTCTCTCTCTCTCTCCTTCTCTCTCCCTTTCTCAACAGGTCCCTCAGCCCCACCTACAATGAAACCAATAGATAAATTAAACATTTTGAGAAGAAACCTCTAACCCAGATAAAAGGCCCCTAAAGCTTACACGCAGGGTCACAGATACAGGAAGAGAACTCTTCCTGAGGCACAAGGGACACTGAGCAGCCAGATGACTCAGAGGCTTGTTTCCAGGACGGTGAGGTAGACAGTATTGGAAAAAAAAGAAGAAAAAAGGCAGACAGAGAGAGAGAAAGAAAAGACAGTTCATGAATGGAGTTGGGATAGAAAGAACACCACACTCTGGGGCCAGGGAAAGGGGCGTGAGTCCTTCCCTCACTTCCCCGTGTCTGTCCTTTGTGCTCATTGTCACAGTGACACTCGCCTGCACCGCACAGTGAGGAGGGGACCGTGTCTCTGCTGAGCTGAGCTCTGCAGGCACAGGGACCCCCGTCTTCCGGACTCATCTCCAGGGCCTGGTGGCCACTGTGCATGGGGAGGACCCACAGGGAGGGTGTGATGGCCGAGTGGAGGGGGAAGGAGACCCGTGGGGGAACCTCTGACCTGGAAGGACATGCCCTGGGTCACCCACCTGCAAGGGGCATCTCAGGAGGCTCTGGAGCAGTTTGCTGCTCGATCCTGGAAACAAAACCAGGCTTCTGGGAAGACACTGTTCCTCTTCTTGAGGGGCTGCTGACGTGACAACCCTGTGACCAGTAGGGCCAGCCTCCCAGTGGCCACACCCTGTGAGTCTGTCTATACTGAGGAGTCTGTGGTCTCTTCCTTCTGCACAGCTTGGTTCAGAGAGGAGACACCATGCCCCCCGCCCTCACGGCCCTTCTCTGCCTGGGTGAGATGTGAGGGGGGAGGGGAAGCCCTGCTCTGTCAGGACCCCAGGACTTGGGAGGTTCCCAGGGAAGAGGGGTCTGCTCAGGACTCAGGGCAGATCTCTCACAGGGACTCTCTTGCAGGGCTGAGCCTGGGCCTGAGGACCCCAGTGCAGGCAGGTGAGTCTGTCCCCAGGGATCCCAGGTGTCATTCCCCCCTGGGGACCAGTCCTTGGGAAGTTGGGGATGAAGAACAGCATTTGTGGGATGACAGATGAAGGACATCTGAGATGTTGGGGGCTGAGAGCTGGGCACTGGGAGGAGGAAATGTTCTGACCTAGACTCTGATTCCTTCCAGGGACCCTCCCCAAACCCACCCTCTGGGCTGAGCCAGGCTCTGTGATCCCCTGGGGGAGCCCTGTGACCATCTGGTGTCAGGGGATCCTGAAGGCCCAGGAGTTTCGTCTGCATAAAGAGGGAAGCCAAGGGTCCTGGGACAGACAGAGCCCACTGGGTCCTGGGAACGAGGCCAAGTTCTCCATCACACTGATGACACAGGAACATGCAGGGAGATATCAGTGTTACTATCTCAGCCAAGGTGTCTGGTCAGAGCACAGTGATCCCCTGGAGCTGGTGGTGACAGGTGAGTGGACACCAGGGTCCCAGCCCCAGGATCTACCCTCAGGAAGGGGGATGCTCTCAGGGTGTCTCCCCCTCACAGCCCAGCCCTCGGGGGGGTGAGGGAGGTGTGAGCCCCATTTCACACACTGCCTCCTTCTCTCCTAGGATACTACTACTACAACAAACCCAGCCTCTCAGCCCTGCCCAGCCCTGTGGTGACCTCAGGAGGGAATGTGACTCTCAAATGTCACTCAGATGAGGGATTTGGCATGTTTGTTCTGACTAAGGAAGGCGAAGACAGGCTCTCCTGGACCCTGGACTCACAAAGACACCCCAGTGGGCAGGTCCAGGCCCTGTTCCCTGTGGGCTCCATGGTACCCAGACAGACCGGGACTTTCAGATGCTATGGCTGCTACAGGTCCACTCCCCAGCTGTGGTCACTACCCAGTGACCCCCTGGAGCTCCTGGTCTCAGGTAGGGAGCCCCAGTCCTGACCACTCCATGTCCTTGTTTTGGTTCAGGGTGCTGCCCAGAATAGGACCAATCTAAGACCAGAGTGAGGAGAAGTCCATTCATTCAGGGACCCACCCTTCATAGGGAGGGAGCACAAAGGGCCCTTCCCTGCCCCTTCATCTTGCCTATGACTGGATTCTCCAGGTGTGAGGAGGGAGGACCTTGCTAGGGACCCACAGCAGACACAGGAGATGAGTGTGAGCAAATAAAACATCTCTTGGTCGGGAGGGGTGCTCTACACATTACCCTTCTCCTGTCTTTTTCCCAGGACCCCCTGTGGTCTCCAGTCCCCCACCCCCAGGGCACGTCTCCACAGCTGGTGAGTCACGGGGTCTTTGCTCAGGGGGAGCACAGACCAGCCCAGGGTGGTTCTGAGTCACTCAGGGGCTCTCATGTCCCTCAAAAACTCAAGGAAGTCCTTGTGTCCAGGGGAGGCTGGGAGGTGAGTGGAGATGAAGCAGTGAGTCGAGTTGAACTGCAGGTGTCTGCAGACTCTGAGGAGGGAAGATGAGGGGTGCCGTGGTCACAGCAGAGGGAGAAGTAGGGACCAGCCTGGGATAAGTGCAGTCAAGGTAAAGTAGGGAGACAGCAGCCCCTGCCCTTCTCCTCCCTGTCCTTGACTTAGGATGTCTGGGGTGGGATGCACTTGGTGTGGTCTCAGTGCTCCCTCAGACGGTGATTTTGGACAGGTCCCTTTCCAACTAAGCCTTCGTTTCTCCCTGAGCCACAGAGAAGAATCCTGTCTTAGACTTCAAAGGACACCACCCTTCTGACTCTGCAGGTACCGTGCTGGTCTGAAAAAGTAAATAGCAGGTGGTGTCAGGTGTTTGGGGCATTAGGGACAAACAGGGCCACAACCGGGGTGGCATCCTGAGTGCTCTTTAATCCCCCTGTGGTGCTCAGCCCATTCTTACTGGAGGAAAACCAACAAAATCAAACCAAAATCCACAAGGTCTTGGAAGCCAGGCTCTACGGGATGTCAGTCCCAGCTCTGCTGCTTCCTGGCTGTGAGACCTGGGACGAGCCACATTCCCTCTCTGAGTTCCAGTTTCATTGTCTGTAAAACATGGCTCCTACCAGCCCCCCTCACAGGTCTGCTAAGAGATTTAGGGGAGCCCCCAGCATGGGGAGGGTGCTCGGGCAATAGCAGCTCCATCCTCGTGTCCCCTCCCAGATATAAACTCAGAAACATTCAAGGGGGCCCCAGTCAACAGTGTGGGGTCTGCAGGACAGAGGACAGATCTTCGCTGGACATGGGGATGGGGGAGGTCACAGAGGTCACTGCACAGAGACCCTGGCTCTGAGGGGTCTCATTTAGGTCCCCCACAGCCTCTGATGGGTTGGTGAGTAGGGGTGACAGTGGAAAGACACATTAAGCTCTAGATAAAGGACAGGGCTGGGGCCCCTGGGGGCCAGGGGACAGGCCATTCCAACCAGGGGAGCAGCCCTGAGAACCCAAAGCTGGTGTCTGTCTGGTGGGGCAATATGAACGGAGCAGAAGAGAACCCACAGTCCTGGGTTCAAATTCCAGCTCTGCCACTTCTCAACTAGATAACCAGAGACACCCAACAGATCTCTCTGAGCCTCAGTTTCTGTGTTTGTAAAACCAGTGGAGGTGGACTGGCATTCACATTTGGCTTGATTGTTATGAGGGTTAGAGGCAATTAATTCACAGAACCCCCCCGCAAACATGCCTGGCACACAGTTGGTGCTCATTTAACTGGCATTATCAGTTCATCTATGACATCCTTGTGTCCAAGGTCTTCAAAAGTACCAGAAAATTTTGATCGGAGTCTCTGTGACTTTCGTCCTGCTGCTCTGCTTCCTTCTTTTCCTCCTCTTCTTCCTCAAGCACCAGAAGAAACTCAGAAAGTCAGGTGAGTAGAAGATGGGGAGATCTGGTCTACCTGGTCTGCAGGAGAGGTGTGACCTTCCTCTAAAGACCTGGGAAGTGGCTCCCTAGGGCACCAGCCAAAATATGGCTCAAAAAAACACACAACCCCACAATGTTCGCTTTTGAAAATTTTCCTAATTCATCAACCATTTCTAGAAAACTCTTTCTATCCCAACTTTCTTCATAATCTTCTTGGGACAGGGATCTGAGTTCCCATGGAAGTGTGGTGATGATGACAGGGGTCCTGTGTGGAGGTAGCAGGGGTGTACCCAGAACCTGAAGGACCATGCTGGTGAGGGGGAGGGGAGCCACAAGGAGGCGTCACTGTCATCCTGCAGGCAAGGGCAGTGGGGTGTGGGCAAGGTGGTGAAGAATAGGGGTTGGGGTTGAGGTAGTTGGGAATTCCATTGTTTTCAGAAAATATGTAAATACATGGGGTTAAATGCACATGAGGTATTTAAAAATGTGTAGAAGCAGTTGGCTAGGACAAATTGAGGTGTTTGGTTGGAACTGAAAATGTCAGGATTGTTTCCCTAATCAGTGCAGCTCAGTTGGTTGGAATATCATCCCAATAGCTGAAAGGTTATGGGTTCGATTCCCAGTCAGGGCATATACCCAGGTTGCATGTTCGATCTCCTCTCTGGGAGCATACAAGAAGCCCAACCCAATCGATGTTTCTCTCTTTCTTTCTCTCACCTCCTCCCACTTCCTCTCTCTCTCTCTAAAAAGCAGTTAAAAGAAGAAATGTCAGTATTGTTACCAAACACAGCTTCAGTGGCCTGCTGTGATAAAAGCAAAGACTTGTGAGACAGGTGCTGGTGAAAAGGAAAGAGATTTATTGATGTGTTGGGGATCCAAAAAGATGGCAGACTCTTGTGTTAAAAAACCATCTTAACATCTCTGTTTAAGTCCGTAGTTTTTCTAAGGAGAGGGGAAGGCAGTGGTTATGCAGAGGCAGTGTTTTGTTGGTTCCGACAAAGATCTTGGCGTCAACATGTCAGTATCGGCTGAATTCCTGTGGCCAATCAGCACCTTATGGGGTGGGAATGGGAACTGCTGGCCCCTGTAATATAGTAAAGTGGAGTCTAAAATAGAGGTAAGCAAAGAAAAAAAAAAGTTTGTTCCTCTTTTTGTTCTAACAGACTTGTTTATTGCTTAGTACATGTAATTCTGTTCTGTACAATATTGCATAAAGATCATATGCTTTTCATTGTCTGTTACAGTAAGACCTCAATAAAAATAAATACATAGCCCTCACTGGTGTAACTCAGGGTGCTGGGTGTCATCCTGCAAATCAAGGGGTCAACATTTCAATTCCTGGTCAGGGCACGTGCTTAGGTTGCTAGGTCCTTGGTTGGAGGTATGCTAGAGGCAACTGATTAGTATTTCTCTCCCTCTCTTTCACCTTCTCTTCCCCTCTGTCTAAAAACAAGTAGATTAAATCTATATATAGATGTGCATCAATTGATATAGAAGTAGTTATAGGTGTCTTTGTACTGTGGGTACCAGCTCAGACCAAGACACAGTGACAGCCCACTAGAAATAAGCACACCTATCATCCTCATCTTGGCTTCTACATACCATCCTCTATGAGAATGAGGGATTTAATATGAATAGACTTAGACTTTTGAAAATATTCTTTCAGGTTCATGAAAACTTGTTTAAATCAACCATGCAAGTTTTGAGTGCTGCCATTTAATTTTGTTTACGTTGAATTCCCATTGGATCCCGGGGTGGGGACTGGGGGGATCCTAGCTGCTGAGATCTTAATGCAGCGCTGAGGGGGTAGTTCTGGGGTAGTTTAGAAACTAATGCCTAACTCTTTTCAGGTGCTTCAGACCCTGAAATTAAGACCACAGCACTACAGAAAAGGTAGTTTCTTCTCCCACACCTCCCTAGACCACTTCTCCACCTATAGCTCCTTCACCACTGCCTAACATTCCTGTTCTCCTTGTTCAGCTCCAGCTCCGTGACTCCTGTTCAAAGGGAGAACCAATGCAATCAGAGAGGAGGTGAGGTCTTGGTGGGACACAGGGGCAGGAGGAGTGGCTGGGGAGGGTTTTGGGCTTAGGTGTGAGCAAGCATGCAAATCCTAAATCCGTGTGGACCCCAGTACATTCCTGATCCTTGATGAATCGCAGTCTCTCCACCTAAGATCAGGAAGGGTGCATAGGATCAAAGGATTCCAGGGATCTTGCCATGAGATAGAATATGGTCTTTCTTCAGGTTCTTCCATAAGAGGTCTCCAACCTGAAGAGGACAAAATGATGGACAATGAGGTAAGACTCTTGCCCTGTCTGGGGCACCCACCACAGACTTGTTAATAAGATAAATTCCGAGGATGCTTCTCCCCACTCCTGTGACTCAGTTTTCAGCATCCTCTGAAAGTGCTCATTCTCCTGAAAGAGACATGGCCAACTGTTGGAACACCATTTCTCAGTGGGTTTTCCTGGTAGCACCCTTCTTCTCAGTTCCCCTACTTGGGTCTCTTTGACTCTCCGTTATCCATATCTCGTGATGATAGTGCTTCCGTGGATAGTTGTACAGTTTGTGTACAATAAGTTTTGTAGTGTTTGATGCCCTAATGGTGGTATCTGACTGGTGTGACTTTTCTTTCCTTTTTTTTATCCTGCTCTGAGGACACCTTTTCATTGTTTCAGAGAGAGTGGAAGGGAGAGAGAGTGAGGGAGAGGATGGAGGAGGAGGATAAGAGAGAGAGAGAGAGAGAGAGAGAGAGAGAGAGAGAGAGAGAGAGAGAAGCATCAGTTGGTTGCCTTCTCCCAAGTACCCCAACTGAAGATGGAACCCAAACCCTTCTGTCTATAGGATGACAATCCAATCAACTGAGCCACACTGGCCAGGGCCCAGCATGCCTTTTCTGACTCCCACAAAGCCCCCTGTAGACTAGACTTCCTTCATCTCTGTTTTCTCCCTTTCCTCCAGTCTTGTGGATTTAGGTGCATTGGTCTCCTACTCCCATGAGAAGCCCACTGACTATCTTCTTCACCTCACCTTGAGACAACTCTCTATTTTACATAACAAAATTTATTGAATCCAAGATATAGCTGGATCTTCTCTATGTTCATGAATCCACAGTTATTTCCAGCTCTGTCCTCTTATCTGAGCCCTACCCTCAAACAAAGACAATGGAGCCATCTCTGTTATTTGTCCAGCAGTCATTTTAACATCACACAACAACTGTTAAGTCTCTCCCAAAGAGTTGTTTCTCCAATTCTTATCAAAAGAGGGGTGCCCTGGCTAGTGTGACTCAGTGGATTGAGTGCAAGCTGTGAACCAAAGGGTTGCCAGTTCGATTCCCAGTCAGGGCACATGCCTGGGTTGCAGGCTAGGTCCCCAGTGGGGGCCACATGAGAGGCAACCACACATTGATATTTCTCTAACTTTCTTTCTCCTTCCCTTCCCCTCTCTCTAAATATAAATAAATAAAATCTTTTTTTAAAAAGAGGGGCAAGTGGAGCAAGGAGAGAAGTTCCACCCTCTCATGTCTTGACCCCTCCTTCCCCCAGAGCCCTGAAGTGATGTATGCCCAGATGGACCACTCAGGGCTCAGGTAGAGGGGTGCGCCCTGCCTTCTGCCTTGTCTGTGGAATTGCTGGACGCCAAGGACAGACATCTGGGAGAGGGCAGGCAGATGACAGTCATGTGGATCATTTCTGTTCCCAGTGCCCTGGCTTCCCCCCAGCCCAATCATACAGCTGTCTCTCTACCTCCTCCAGGATACTCCATCTGAAGACCCCCAGGATGTGACCTATGCCCAGCTGAACCGCCAAGACCCTCAAACGAGCAGCAAATGCACCCCGTTCCTCCCCATCAGTGGAGACCCAAGATGAGCCCAGTGTGTATGCTGCTCTGGCTATCCACTAGCCCAAGACCCAAGTGAGGACCCAGACCCCACACTTCAGGGAGGGGGCCCGCAGGGACCCCAGATAGCACAGAGGCTATCCCCTTGGACAGTCAGCTACTGACCCCAAGTCTGAGGATGTTCTGTAAGCAAGCAAGATATCACGAGACCTTAGAAGTCACCTCATTCTGCAGAGGAAGATAACTACGAACTCTGTATTTTTATTTTTTCTCTTTAATATATTTTATTGATTATGCTATTACAGTTGTCCCATTTTTCTCCCCTTTATTCTCTTCTCTCCTGAACCCCCCAAATTCATGTCCTTCTCCCATGCACAATACATCCCTTTCAACTCTACAGTGCTCCACATTTTTACTCATTCCAGTATCAACTCTCAAGTCTAAAGTTCAGTCTTGTTGACATATTGTCTACATCAGACACAGGTGAGACTGGGGATAGGATTCATTTTAGGGTGGAATTCCTCTGCAGTTGTGAACCTGCAACCCAGACAATTTATGTACTTCTGACATTCAAGACTTTGGCAGGCATGGGAGAGATAGTCCTATTCCAACAGGGAGAAATCAGAAAGACAGGGGATCCAGGCACATTCAACATCTTGAAAGGCAACATTAATTAAATCGTTCTTTCCTCTCTTTTGGGTTCAATTTCTTTGTTGTTTTTTTTTTAAATACTCTTGTTCAATTACCGTTGACCTTCAATAGTGTTTTACATTAGTTTCAGTGGTACAGCATTGTGGTTAGACCCGATGTTCTGCCCTCCAGTCATTCTGGGGTGGCAGTGTTACCCCCACGGCTCAGCTCAGTGGCCTAGCACCTTTATCTCCTTGTGAGAACCCCACTCCCAAAGCTTTGAGGGGAGACCACCTGCCCTGGTGAATCCAAGGAGGTGATTCTTGGGGGGCAAGAATCACCCCCTCAGGGGGGCAGCCCTGATAAACTCTGAGGTCATTCTTGCCTTTCCTTGAAGGATAATAGCACACATTCGCAGACAGGTAACTGTATCATCCCAGCCTGTCATGTCCGAGAGGTGTTTCCGTTCCAACAACCCCATCATTTCTTCACTGACTGACAGTCCATCCCCACCTGTGCTGTGCTCTCCCAGAGTCACTCTCCCTTGTAGCCACATGAGCAGCTAAGGGTTTTCTAACTCATTAACTTCTGGGTCCATTTGCATGACTATTCATTCTTCAATTTGTTTCTCTTCCCTCAAATGTTACTACCAGAATATCACATGTCAACATTTTGCTTAGGTACGTTCCACTTTATGCTTCCCAAGTTCCGCCTTCTAGAAGCATTTGAAGACAGTGCAGCCACATTCTTTACCACCGTAGAATGAAAATCAGCTGTTCTTCATTGTCTAATACCTTATTGGTCATTTCGTCTGAAGACTCACTGAAATGGGTATTACCACCCATATTTCTATCGAACCAACATTCTGTTCACCTCATCATGTATTCTGAGAAGGTGAAGGCTTTTTCTCCATATCTCCTCTTTTCTTTCTGAGCCCCCCCTCGGAATCACCATTAATGTCTATATATCCACCAGCAGTCCATCCTACAGCACCTAGAATTTTTCTAGCATGTGCACTTCCCATTACCAGTTCCAAAGCTGCTTCCCAGTCTTGGCACCAATTTCTGTATTGTTCTGCTCAGGCTTCTATAACAAAATGTCATAGACCAAGGGGTTTGAGCAACACATGCTTACTAGTTTACAGCTCTGAACTATTAGAGTAGAAGTCCCAGATTGATTCTGGAGACAGAAGGGTCGGTGTGTGGTAGGGTCTCTCCCTGGGCTTGTGGATGGCCCTTCTTCCTGTGTGCTTTCATTGGTGTGAGAACAAAGAGAGACAGAAGGAGCTATCTGGTTTCTCTCCTTATAAGGAAGCTGGTCTTATCAAATCAGAACTCTACCCTTATAACCTTATTTAACATACTTCTCAGAGGCCTCACTTCCAAATGACAGCCACTCTGGGGGTTAGGGCTTCCACATAGAATTTGCCAGGATGTTAGCATTCAGTCCACAGCATTAATAAAGCCAAAAGTAATAATTCATGACTATTCTTTTTTAAATATATTTTATTGATTATGCACATCCTCTCCCACTCAAATTCCTCCACCTTAGTTCATGTCCATTGGCTAGTACATATAAGTTCTGTGGCTTCTATATTTCCTATGCTATTCTTAACCCCCCCATCTATTTTGTACCTACCATCTATGCTTCTAATTCTCTGTACCTTTTCCTTCTTTCTCCCCCTCTTCCTCCCCAGCTCATAACCTTCCATGTAATCTTCATTTCTGTGATTCTGTTCTGTTCTAGTCTGTTTTTTTAAGGTTCAGTTATTGATAGTTATGAGTTAAAATGTAAAAATTCCAGCAACACTGGACAAAAAAATAGAGATATAGTACCAAAGACCAATATCAGTTGTGGAATAAGACATCACTATAGATCCCACAGATGTTTTTAGTGTCAACTTCAATACAAGAGGTAAACTGAGGCACGCTCTAATGATGAAAAATTGGCCCTGGCTGGTATAGCTCAGTGGATTGAGCGCGGGCTGTGAACCAAAGGGTTGCTGGTTCGATTCCCAGTCAGGGCACATGCCTGGGTTGCAGGCCAGGTCCCAGTGGGGGCCACATGAGAGGCAACCACACATTGATGTTTCTCTAACTCTCTTTCTCCTTTCCTTGTCCTCTTTCTAAAAATAAATAAATAAAATCTTTAAAAAATAAATTGAAAGAAAAATTGAGTTAGTTTGTGAATAGCAGAAGAACTGCAATTTGAGACAGGCAAATTGTAGCATGCTACAGGTGAGTTCACTGAGAATTTGGGAGATGCTATATTAATGGACAAAAAAATGTAAGGAATGAGTGGGAAGATTAACTTCAAGCAGCACCTTCATTGTCTTCAAGATGGAAAGAAGCTCTTGGTGGAGGTTCAGGGGTTGAGGGTAGTTTCAGTTTTCTGTATGTCACACATTTGTGGGAAATTACTCTTTCAGTCTTCACACTGAGTTACCCAAGAACCCATATGTAAGACTTCCTGTCTTATACCATCCAGTTCTATTTTAGAATAAAATCTTCTCACAATAAACATAAGTACACTTTATGAAAAACTTTAGGGGGTAGGATGGGATACACTAAAAGACAGAAAACTGTACTTGAACAATAATTAAAATAAATTAAAAAATTTAAAAAGAAAAACTCTATCCAATTTAGATAAAGGACTAATATCCAATCTTCTTCCCCTGGAATAAATAGATTGACGTAGTCCCATTTGTCCATCTTTTTTGTATGTTTCCCCTGCTATGAGAAATGTCTGTCTGAGATTTTACTGTCTATGTTCTCTTCTAGGATTTTTATGCTTCCGAGTGTAACATTTAACTCTTTAATTAATGTTGAGTTTATTCTTGCGTATGTTGTAAGAAGGTGGTCTAACTTCATTTTTTTCTGGATCTGTCCAATTTCCCCAAAACCATTGTATATTCTTGCCTCCTGTGTCAAATATTAATTGACCATAAAGGCATGGGTTTATTTTTGGGATCTCTCTCCTGTTGCATTGGTCTGTGTGTCTGTTTTTATGCCAGTACTATGCTGTTTTGATTACTACAGCTTTGAAGTATATAGTTTGACTTCAGGTAGTGTGATTCCTCCAGTTTTGTTCTTTCTCAAGATCACTGTGGCTGTTTTGGGTCCTCTGTGGTCCCAAATAAATTTTTGGAATATTTGTTCTAGTTGTTTGAAATACGCCACTGGAATCTCGACAGAAATTGTATCTCATCAACTAGCACATATTTTTTCAGACTGTGGGCCCCTACTGGGGCCCAGTTGTCTGCAGTCATCAATCGCCTTTGGCCCCTCCTAGTTCCCCTCTCCTTGATGTAAAAGAAGCCTGAACTCTGTACTTTCTTAAGACACTTTTGAGGTACAATTAAATCTCCCACCTCCTCTGTGGGCACCTTCTCAATGGATAAACCTTCCCTTACTCCAAAAAATAATGATAGTTAATAGAGAATCTGAATCATCATTGAACTACCAAAAATTTACATCTGAAAACTAAATCATTGCACAAAATTAACTCCCGGTCTGTTGAGATACGCAGTGAGTTCTTCCAAACAATTCTGGGACAGTAGAAGCTCATTTTACAGATATTTTTCTAGAGCTAACACATTTACATAGGCTAGCATGAAAATCTGAAAAGGATATTTCAAGACCAGAACACCATACCAGAGTTTCCACATGAACTTGGATGCCAGATAACTGACAAACATGGAAGAGAAAAAGGAGGTGAGTGGTATTCCTGGCACTGAACTTTGGGGGCATGTTGGGAAGAGAACTTCTCGAATGACATCATGTCTGGAAGGCACTGTGTTCTGGGACATGGTTGCCGGTGATAGGTGGGGTCTCCAGGACCAGAGGGAGCACAGAAAACTGAAGGTGTTTGTACCTGAGATGAAACAGAACTCTATCCAGGCAAGAGATGTGCTCCTTCAGACAAAGCAAAGACCAACACAGTGGCTGCTGGTGGCAAACCAAACCAAACCAGAGTCCCCTGGGGAAAAGTAGCTTGTGCACAGGTAAATGTGGCAGGACTCTGACAAATTCCAAAGCATCATTCCTACGGAGACCACTGGACACTGAATCCATGGGATGATCTAGCCCTCGAAGGTTTAAATTTATTGAAACATAAATACATACACAAAAGTCTTCTCTTACCTTAAAAAAAAGGGAGACAACATCTGATCCTGATGTTCCTGCTTCATTCACACAGGTAGGCAGAGAGGACACAAGTATTTAAAGATGAATTTGCCTCAACAAGTCAAAGGTCAAGCCCAAAGCTATGACACCAGGAAGACCACTATACCCATAGAATAAGGGCTTTGAGAGCAAGAATGACTCAGAGGTTCTCTCTCAGAGAGGAGAGGGTGGATGCTATTGCTAAGATAAAAGAGAAGTTCATGGAAAACATGAAATTTAAAAAAAGCTTAGATACTGGGGCCATAAAACAGATGCATTTCCTTCCTCGTTTCCCTGTGTTTTTCCTTTGTGCTCATTGTCACAGCGACACTCACTTGCACTGCACGGTGAGGAGGGGACCGTGTCTCTGCTGAGCTGAGCTCTTCAGACACAGGGACCCCATCTTCCTGAAGCATCTCCAGGGCCTGGGTGACCACTGTGCATGGGGAGGACCCACAGGAAGGCGCTAATGGTCGGGCTGAGGGGGAAAGAGACCCTGTTGGGGAGGGAGGCTCTGACCTGGAAGGACATGCCCTGGGTCACCTCATCTGCAAGGGGCATCTCAGGAGGCTGCAGATCAATTTCCTGCTTGATCCTGGAAACAACAACCAGGCTTCTGGGAAGGGAAGACACTGTTCCTCTTCTTGTGGGGCTGCTGATGTGACAACCCTGTGACAAGTAGGGCCAGCCTCCCACTGTCTACACCCAGTCTGTCTCTCTGTTCTGAGGACACTGTGGTCTCTTCCTTCTGCACAGCCAGAACCAGAGAGGAGACACCATGCCCCCCACCCTCAGGGCCCTGCTCTGCCTTGGTGAGATGTGAGGAGGGAGGGGAAGCCCTGCTCTGTCAGGACCCCAGGGCTCAGGAGGCTCCTGGGGAGGAGGGTTCTGCTCAGGACTCAGGGCAAATCTCTCACAGGGACTCTCTTGCAGGGCTGAGCGTGGGAATGACGACCCCAGTGCATGCAGGTGAGTCAGTCCTCAGGGGTCCCAGGTTTCTATCCTCACTGGAGACAAGGAACCAAGCTCCAAGAAGGTTGGAAAAAAGAACAGATATGTCTGACAGATGAGGGATGTCAGGGATGGTCATGTGGTTGAGATCTGGGGCCTGGGGGTGGAAATGTCTTGTGACCCAACCTCTGATTCCTTCCAGGGACCCTCCCCAAACCCACCTTGTGGGCTGAGCCAGGCTCTGTGATGCTGTTGGGGAGCTCAGTGACCATTTGGTGTCAGGGGCCCCTGCAGACCCAGAAGTTCCGCCTGCATAAAGAGGGAGGCGGAATGTCCTTGAAAAGACAGAAGCCACTGGAACCCGGTGACAAGGCCAACTTCCACTTTACACACATGACAGAGTATGATGCAGGGAGATATCGCTGCTCCTATCTCAGCCCCACTGGGTGGTCCGAGCCCAGTGACCCCCTGGAGCTGGTGGTGACAGGTGAGAGGACACTCAGGGGTCTCAACCTCAGGCTCTGCCCTCCAGAAGGAGAATGCTCTCAGGGGGTCTGCCCCTCACAGCCCAGCCCTGGGGTACGTGAGAAAAGTGTGAGCTCTATTTAACATACTGCCTACTTCTCCTCTAGGATTCTACAGCAAACCCAGCCTCTCAGCCCTGCCCAGCCCTATGGTGACCTCAGAAGGGAACGTGACCCTCCAGTGTGGCTCACGGCAGAAGTTCAACAGGTTCATTCTGACCAGAGAAGGAGAAGACAGGCTCTCCTGGACCCTGGACTCACAGCCTCACCCTAGTGGGCAGGTCCAGGCCCAGTTCACTGTGGGCCCCTTGACCCCCAGCCACAATTGGACATTCAGATGCTATGGCTATTACAGGAACACACTACAGGTGTGGTCACAGCCCAGCGATGCCCTGAAGCTCCTGGTCTCAGGTGAGTTGCATTCTTGGCTCATCCATGATATGAGGTACCACACAGGTTATTGGGGTCTTTGCTGGGAGGGGAGCACTTGTGAGAGGTGGGGTGAGGGGAGTTTAGGGACTTGTAGGTCAGAGACACAGATCAGCCATGGAGATTGAGTACCCCTGAGGATCTAATGTCCCTCAGATATTCAAGGTTGGGCTACAGTGTCAGGGCTCTGAGTGTCAGCAGGGAGAGATTTCAGGGAAACCAGGGGGCTCCAGGGTCTCTGATGGTTTGCCCTTCAGCCCAGTCCAGTGAGGCCTGTGGAGGGAGGGGGTAAGGGAGGCAGGTGACAGGTGAGGTGGTCACGGCAGAGGGTGATGGTAGGTGTCCAGCTGCACAGAGGAGCAGCCCAGCTCATGTCAGCAGAAGGCGGATCCCACCCTCTGCTACCCAACCTGGGCTTATGGCCTGTGGCTGGGATGAAATGGCAGAGGCTCAGAGTGCCCCTTGGGGTCAAGATTTCATCCAGTTTCTGGCCCCAGATCTCCTGGTCTCTGGTGAGCAGACCCTGCTCCTGTCCTCTCTGAGCTGCAAGGTCACCTGTGGCCCTGTCCCCAGGAAAGTCTAAGGCATAATGGGAGTGCCAGGTGGCTCCACAGAGAAGGCTCTTCCTGTGAGAGGTGGAAGCCGGTGGGCATCTCTCGTCCCTGGGACCTTCTCACTCTGCAGACTCAGACAGAGCTGTGATAGGGAAGGTGATGGCCATGCTCAGTGGTGACACAAAGAGGCAAGTGAGAGTGGACTGGAGTCACAGGACAGAGTCCCAGCCCACGGCCTTCAGGTGCCTCCGTCTCAGAACCAGATGCACAAGCCACAGGCAGGAGAGGGCAGAGTGTGTGCAGACTCAGCTGCCCAGGGAAATGGGCTCTGAGGATCCTTACCCACCTGAGTGATGGGGGAGCTGCCTCACCAGGACCCACAAGGGCATGTCCATTTCTGACTTTCTGGGGAACGTGACAAGGGGCTGCTCCAAGACGTGCTTCTGGTCCCGCCCTCTCTGGCATGGTCCTGCTTGTCCTAGGCCTCTGAGTAGTTTGCTTGGTGCCAGTCTGCAGATTTGGTGTCCAGATCTGGCTTGTAATACAGGGAAGACAGCTGGACTATGGAGGAGGAGAGGCCAGGAGAGTTGGAGAGAGAACAGAGAGAATCATCCCTGGACCCTAATTTCTAGAGACCCTGGTGGAACCCGCCAACCTGCATGGGGATCTCTGAACCCTCTCAGAGCAGGACAAGAGGTGGCTTGGGCCAAGGTGGGGCTGCTATGGATGATGGTGGAGTCCCCACTTGACACTCTCCAATGGGGAGAAGGGCCCCCACCTGTGGGCATCACTCTGCAGGCCCCTGGGCCCACCTGGAGGCCCCTAGCACTCAGTGCTCACCTGAGACTCAGGTTGGCTGTGGGGGGCCTGTGCATGGCTCAGAAGGCACTGGGGGTTCCTGCCCAGATTCAGTGTGAAATTCATGTCTGCTGTGTATATTTCTGTCCACATCTCTATTATAGCATGTTCCCCGAGAATTTTAAAGCAATGTATAAATTTTCGCATATAAATTTAAGTTATAAACATTTCTGACTTTAAAAAGGTCAATCTACTCCTATTTTAATTGTGATTATATTAAATTTATCCCTTTATTACTAAAAACAACCTTTTAATCTGGCCCCTGTATGTTAGTAGACTGAATGCCAGCCTGCAATTCAAATGATAGCTGCTTTGATTCCCAGTCAGGGCACACACTTGGGTTGTGGGTCAGGTCTCCAATAGGGGGCGCTGAATAGGAAACCACGCATGATGTTTCTCTCCCTCTTTCCATTTCCGAAATAAATGAATAAGTAAATAAACATGTTTTAAGAGAAAAGTAACATTTTTAAAAAGTTTTTCAAAAAATAAAGGTGCTTTACAAGGTGTGTTTGAGACTTTAGATACATTTTGAAGTTTTTTTCATAAAATTGTCTATTCATACAGCTCAAGAATTTTTCGAGTATCTTGTACATGTGTGTGTATAGATGAGACTAACCCATGGACTCTGAGTCCTCGGCTGCTGAATAAAGAAAAGCTCTCATCTCCAGAGGAGTGAGCTTGGATGGTCAGTCTCCCACTGTGAGCAGAGAGATTACAAGGACATCCTCTGCTCTGTAACGAGAGACCACATTTCTCATCAAACCTGAATTCTCAGGAAAAAGACAACCTATGTTCCAAAGGGTCTCAGGACCAAAGTCTACACTCAGAAGTTCCCAGGAGACTGACAGGACCCATGACAGCAGACAGGACCCCCATAGCAGAGAGAAGGTTTACAAAGGAGCTGGAAATAGTCACATCATGAGGAACAGGAGAGTTTTGAGGACTGTTGGCTTGAGAGGGATCAATTCCTCACACACCCACTTCTTTATCTTTTTCAAGGAGCAGCCGACACCATCCACCCCTCACACAACAGCTCAGACAACTCGAGTGGTGAGTAGGAGAGTCCTCAGTTGTGGGTCTGGTGCAGTGGGTCCTGTCTGTCAGGGGGAGACTGGTGTGCTGGGTGGGCTTCCAGGATCCAGAGCTAACTTTGTCTGCTGTGACCTCTTTCTTCACATTTCCTAGACTGCCAGCCCCAGGACTACACAGTGGGAAATCTCATCCGCATGGGTGTGGCTGTTCTGGTCCTGCTGGTCCTCGGGGTGCTGCTGTCTCAGGCTCGAGACAGCGAGAGAATAGCCCAGGCTGCCACCAGGACCTGAACACAGAAGTAAAGGAGCACCGTTCAGAGTGGGAGAGACTTGGATTGTGCCCAGAAGGTTCTGGAAGATAATATGGGACACACTGCATAACATGTCTGGAGCTCACTGCAGGTGGAGGACTCCTTGCTCATATGCAGGACCATGTCTGGACCCTCCTGCCATTAAATTCAGCCCATCTCCTCCCAACCATTGTTGAGTCATGTGACCAGTTCCCACCTTTTCCCAATTCAGTTAAATTAGCGTTGATGCCACGTGGCATGGGTCACGTCCACACCTCCCTATACTTTTAGAAAACTTGTTCTTCTTTATGTCTAATTACACCTGCCTTGGTGTTTGTATGGAGTGCCCACCCACTCAGGTCACAGCATGCAATCTATTTTAATAAATCAATGACCTGGCTGGTGTAGCTCAGTGGATTGAGCGCGGGCCTGCGAACTAGACAATCGCGGTTCGATTCCCAGTCAGGGCACATACCGGGGTTGCAGGCCGGTTCCCTGCAGGCCAGTTCCCAGCAGGGGATGCATGAAAGGCAACCATACATTGATGTTTCTCTCCCTCTCTCCTTCCCTTCCCCTCTAAAGATAAATAAATAAAATCTTTAAAAAAATACGTCTAAGTTTTAAATTAAAAAAATAAATAAATAAATCAATGAGCTGGCATCACAGAAATTCAGCTCACAAGAGATAAATCCCAAATGATGCCCTGACACCATCTCTGGACCCCAGATACCTTCACCTGTCCCCAGATGGCACCTGTGGACTCTCCCCAGGAACCTCCTCACATGGAGTCAAGATTTTTTTCTCTCTACACTTGAGGATATTTACATTGCTTTTTTGGAGAGATGGAAGAGAGAGAAAGAGAGAAACACTGATGGGAGAAGCAAGCACTGATTGGTTGCCTCCCATATGTGTCTGGACAGGGGACTGAACTTGCAATGTAGGTATGTGCCCTGACTGGGATTGGAAACCAGAAACTTTTGGTTATGGGACGATGCTCCAACCAACACAACCACGCCAGCCTGGAGGAAATCAAGACGTTTTCATCTGAAGGAATTGCCTGGGATGCACTGCCAGGGAAAACCCATTGTTAAAACCACAGGACAGTATACAGATAATGTATTAGAGAACTGCACACTTGAAACCTATATGATTACTCGTGTCATCCCAATGAATTCCTCTTAACATAACACTGGTTCTTGGCATTTTCTCATTTCTGGTATCTATGGTCCCTTTGTGGTCAACATCATGGTGCCCCTGTGAGGTCCTGATGCAGAGCTGGGAAGTGACTCACAAACAGACTTTCACAGACAGTACAAGCCAGTGTGGGACACCAGTAACAACAGTCTGACAGCCCCAGGATGCACCTCAGTTGCCTGCCTTTTCATGTGCAGGGATTATTTCTAATTCAGTGTTGTGGCAGAGTGTCCACAAAAGTACAAGACCCAGTGCAAGTCCCAATGCACCCAGATGAGGTTCCAAGAGAAAAATCCTACCAGCCCTTGTGGGGAGAACAGTGAGCTGATAGAATTCTAATGCATAAATGTGGGAGTGCAAGTTAGAGTCACCAAATGGGTGGATACATTACACGTATCCACCCACCTCTGGTGTCACTCTTTGCTATGAGGAAGTCTGGTCCCAGGGAACTTGTCACTATGGTGATGTGCATGTCCTCTAGGAAGTAATTTTAGGGCATTTTATGACTCATACACCATTTTCTTTTTCATTTGAAATTCACATTAAAATAAAATGAACCATTTCAAAATTTTTATATTGATTGATTTGAGAGGTGGGGCAGAGAGAGAGAGAGAGAGCAACATTGATTGTTGACCCACTTCCTGATGCACCCATTGATTGTTTGTGTGTGTGCCCTGACTGGGGATCAAGCCCACAACCTTGGATATTGGGATGATGCTCTGACCCACTGAGTGACCCTGACAGGGCCTAAAATTAACCATTTCTGTTGTGTAAAATTGGGAGTAGGTTAGTTCTTGTGTTTTTATTTAACCTTCATTGTCTTTATTAAGCACAAAAAGTCAAGATACAGATTTCATTTTTAAATACCTGCTCCCTAACACTACGTTGGTCTTTCTTCATCTCGGTAAAATGTGGGATTATTTATCTCTTGAGCTGTTACTAAATGCCATGCTCACTTCTTTCTTTCTGACACCAGAGATACGACGTCCACCCTCCTCACTCTAGTCCCCAATTACCTTCAGACCCCCCTTCTGGTCTCTCTAGGCTGCATCCTGGAAATTTTTTCTGTATTGTGCTCCACTGTCTAAATGGCCCTTCAGCTCCGACTCAGCCTTGATGGGAAGAACTATTTTCATGTGTCTGTCTATTGGGCTTTCTCATCTCTAAGGTTTCCAATTCATTACAGTCATCTCCATAAAACAATTCATATTATTGGCTCAAAATTTGAATCCTCCCTTTACTTTTCAGGTATTTACATGTGATCATCTTCCATTGCTCTCATATTTTCCTTCTCACTCTCCTTCATTGGCTTTGACAGTCCCCAGTGTCAGTAGTCAGTGTCCACAGCACTGTCTGTCACTGTTGGGAAGTCTCCACTGTCCACTGTTGTAGGAGTCTCTCCCCTCACACCCCTGGTCTCCTACGATTCTCCAGGGCTGTCCTGAGAGTCAGGCTGACCAGGGGCTATGGCAGCTGCCCCTGCCCCATGCAGTCCACTCTCTCACACTCAGCACCTGTTCAGCGTTCTGCCCACCAGGGCTGATCCAATGGGAACCTCACACACACACATGGGATAGATGCTCATGGCTGACATACTGGACTTAGTCTGTTTCAGAACACAAAGGGAGACTGCTTACTGCTGACCATGAACTTGGGTGAGTGGGCAGAAACATCCTGGAGCCCGTACAGAAACACTGGGCAGGGAGAAGCTTCAAGCCTTTATCTGCACCTGGACCCCCTTCCTCCGACGTCCTGGGGTCCCTCTCTGTTCACCTAGGAAGATCTCTTCCCTGTTACTTGTGGATGGTCCTGGTCACTGTGGGTCACTCAGTTTCAGTCTCTGTTCTCCACTGTGGTTCCCTCTCCATTTGGGAAATGTTCATTTCTCTCCCCTGCATGTGTCTGTGCCTACATACTTTAGAGCAGTTGTGAGTAGCTGGGCTTGGTATTCAGAGCAGACATGGTCTAGAGTGAGTCCAACAGTATTGCCTTGGCCCTGGACACATTGATCCTTTCATGTCCCAGCCACTCATGTTCTCATCTGGTCTGGAAATGGAAGTCTCCCTCTCACTGTAGAGACTGGGCTTTGTGACAACAGGATTCAGATAAGGAAACTGAGGCTCAGATATAGGACATTAGCACACAGATCACTTGGGCAAAGGTTGATGGTTATTTAAATAAGTAACTGCTGTAAATAAAAATCAGAACTGTAACCCAAATCAATGTCCCCTGAAGCTTGATGGTAAGACCACAGCACAAGGAAGAGACCTGAACCAGGAAAGGGCACTGAGGGGCAGGGATCACTCAGAGGCTTGTTTCCAGGAAGGTGGGTGGATGCTGTTGATAAGAAAAAAGGAGAAGTCAGTGAGGATACCTGGGATAGAAAGAAAACCACACTCTGACATCAGGGGAAGGGCGTGTGTCCTTCCCTCACTTCCCTATTTCTGTTCTTTGTGCTCATTGTCTCAGTGACACTCATCTGAACTGCACAGTGAGGAGGGGACCGTGTCTCTGCTGAGCTGAGCTCTGCAGGCACAGGGACCCCCGTGTTCCTGAAGCATCTCCAGGGCCTGGTGACCACTGTCCATGGGGAGGACCTACAGGGAGGGGGTGATAGTTGGACTGAGGGGGAAGGGGACTTCGTGGAAGAGGACCTGGGAGGCTATGCCCTGGGTCACCTCACTTGCAAAAAGCATCTCAGGACGCTGTGGGTCTATACCTTTATCCATCATGGGGTTAGAGGCAGACTCCTGAGGGGACACTGTCTCCCTTCCCGACAGACTGCTGATGTGACAACCACATGACTGGGATGGCCAACCTCCCAGTGGCCACACCCTGTGAGTCTCTCTATACTGAGGACTCCTTGGTCTCTTCCTTCTGTATAGCTGGGTTCAGAGAGGAGACACCATGAACTCCAGCCTCATGGTCCTTCTCTGCCTTGGTGAGATGTGAGGGGGGAGAGGACTCCCAGATGTCAGGACCCCAGGGCTCAGGAGGCTCCTGGGGAGGAGGGGTCTGCTCAGGACTCAGGGCAAATCTCTCACAGGGACTCTCTTACAGGGCTGAGCGTGGGCCTGAGGACCCCAGTGCAGGCAGGTGAGTCTGTCCCCAGGGCTCCCTGGTGTCATTCACCACTGGGAAGTTGGGGATGAAGAACAGCATTTCTGGGATGACAGATGAAGGACATCTGAGATGTTGGGGACTGAGAGCTGGGCACTGGGAGGAGGAAATGTTCTGACACAGCCTCTGAATCCTTCCAGGGACCCTCCCCAAACCCACCCTCTGGGCTGAGCCAGGCCCTGTGATCCTCTGGGGGAACTCAGTGAGCATCTGCTGTCAGGGGGCCTGGCAGGCCCAGGAGTTCCGTCTCGATAAAGAGGGAAGCCCAGCACCCTGGGGCAGAATGAAGTCTCTGGATGACGGGAACAAGGCCAAGTTCTCCATCACACTGATGACAGAGCCACATGCTGGGAGATATCAGTGTTACTATCTCAGCCAAGGTGTCTGGTCAGAGCACAGTGACCCCCTGGAGCTGGTGGTGACAGGTAAAAGGACACTCAGGGGTCGTAGCCTCAGGCTCTTTCCTCAGACAAAAGATACTCTCTGCGTGTCTCCCCCTCACAGCCCAGCCCTGGGGGAGATGATAGAGGTGTGAGTCCCATTTAACATTCTGCCTGCTTCTCTCCTAGGATACTACTACAGCAAACCCAGCCTCTCAGCCCTGCCCAGCCCTGTGGTGACCTCAGAAGGGAATGTGACTCTCAAATGTGACTCAGATGAGGAATTTGGCAGATTTGTTTTGACTAAGGAAGGAGAAGACAGGCTCTCCTGGACCCTGGACTCACAGAGACACCCCAGTGGGCAGTTCCAGGCCCTGTTCCATGTGGGCCCTGTGACCCCCAGACAGAATGGGACTTTCAGATGCTATGGTTATTACAGGCACATCCCCCAGGCCTGGTCACCACCAAGTGACCCCCTGGAGCTCCTGGTCTCAGGTGAGTTGCATTCTTGGCTCATCCATGACCTGATGTACCACACAGGTTATTGCGGTCTTTGCTGGGAGGGGAGCACTCGTGAGAGGTGGGGTGAGGGGAGCACAGGGGCTCGTCAGTCAGAGACACTGACCAGCCATGGAGACTGAGTCCCTCTGAGGATGTAATGCTCCTCAGATATTCAAGCTTGGGCTACAGTGTCAGGGCTCTGGGTGTCAGCAGGGAGAGATTTCAGGGGAACCAGGGGCTCCAGGGTCTCTGATGGTTTGCCCTTCAGCCCAGTCCAGTGAGGCCTGTGGATGGGTAAGGGAGGCAGGTGACAGGTGAGGTGGCCATGGCAGTGGGTGATGTTGGGGGCCCGGCTGCACAGAGGAGCAGCCCGGCTCACGTCGGCAGAAAGCAGCCCCCATCCTCTGCTACCCAACCTGGGCTTATGGCCTGTGGGTGGGATTCAATGGCAGAGGCTTGTGGTGGCTGCTGGGGTCAACTGATCCAGTTTTTGGCCCCAGAGCTCCTGGTCTCTGGTGAGCTGACCCTGCCCCTCTCCTTTCTGAGCTGCAAGGTCACCTGTGGCCCTGTCCCCAGGAAAGTCTATGGCAAATTGGGAGTGCCAGGTGGCTCCACAGAGAAGGGTCTTCCTGTGAGAGGTAGAAGCAGGTGGGCATCTTTTACCCTGGGACCTTCTCACTCTGCAGACTCAGACAGAGCTGTGCAAAGGGAGAGCAATGGTCTTGCTCAATGGTGACACCAAGAGGCAAGTGAGAGTGGACTGGAGTCACAGAACAGAGTCCCAGCCCACGGCCTTCAGGTGCCTCCCTCTCAGAACCAGATGCACACACTACAGGCAGGAGAGAGGGCAGACTGTGTGTGGACTCTGATGCCCAGGGAGGTGAGCTCTGAGGATCTTACCCCACCCGAGTGAGGGGGAGCTGCCTCACCAGGACCCACAAGGGCATGTCCATTTCTGACTATCTGGGGCACATGAAAAAGTGGCACCTTCTCCTGGTCCCACCCTTTCTGAGCCTATCTTGGTTGTCTCAGTAACTGGAACCTTGTACAGCTGAAACAGCTGAGGGAGACAGGGGCGTGGGGCAGCAGGTACCTCCAGCCTGGGGACTCAGCTTAGCAAGCAGAAAGCTCGATATCAAGGAGACTGGGAGGATTTGGAAATTCCCATGTAGGGTGTCAAGTGTTCCCACTTCCACACAGAATCTGTGGGATATTCCACCAAAAGTCTAGGCTCCTGAGTAGTTTGCTTGGTGCAGATTTTCAGAATTTGGTGTCCAGATTGGCCTTGTAATACAGGGAAGACAGCTGGACTGTGGAGGAGGAGAGTCCAGGAGGGTTGGAGAGAGAACAGACAGAATCATCCCTGGACCCTAATTTCTAGAGACCCTAGTGGAACCTGCCAACCTGCATGGGGGTCTCTGAACCCTGTCAGAGCAGGACAAGAGGTGGCTTGGGCCAAGGTAGGGCTGCTATGGATGATGGTGGATACCCACTTGACACTCTCCTATGGGGAGAAGTGCCCCCACCTGTGGGCATCACTCTGCAGGCCCCTGGGCTCACCCGGAGGCCCCTAGCACTCAGTGCTCACCTGAGACTCAGGTTGGCTGTGGGGGGCCCATGCATGGCTCAGAAGGCACTGGGGGTTCCTGCCCAGATTCAGTGTGAAATTCATGTCTGCTGTGTATATTTCTGCCCACACTTCTCTATTATAACGTTCTCTGAGAAATCTAAAGCAATACTTCCTATATAAATTTAACTTATAAACATTTCTGACTTTAAAAAGATAATAGATTCTATTTTGATTGTAATTATGTTAAATTTATCTTTTTATTAAGAAAAGTAACCATTTGACATGGCCCGTGTGGCTCAGTAGATTGAGTGCCAGCCTGAAAATCAAATGATAGCTGGTTTGATTTCCAGTCAGGGTACATGCCTGGGTTGTGGGTCAGGTCTCCAATAGGAGGCACTCAAGAGTAAACCACACATGATCTTTTTCTCCCTCTTCATTTCTAAAATAAATAAATAAATAAAATATTTTTCAAAGAAAGGTAACATTTTAGTAAAAGGAAGTTTTTAAAAATATTTTATTTATTTATTTTTAGAGAGGGGAAGGGAAGGAGAAAGAGTGGGAGAGAAACATCAATGTGTGGTTGCCTCTCACGTGTCCCCCACTGGGAACCGGCCTGCAACCCAGGCATGTGCCCTGACTGGGAATCAAACCTCGAATGCATGGTTCGCAGGCCTGCACTCAATCTAGTGAGCTACAGCAGCCAGGGCAGGAAGTTTTTTTAAAAAAGGTGATTTAAAAGTTTTTTAGACTTCAGATACATTTTGAAGTTTTTTTCATAAAATTGTCTATACATATAGTTCAAGAATTTTTTTAGTATCCCATACAGGTGTGTGTATAGATGAGACTAACCTATGGACCCTGAGTCCTCAGCTGCTGAATAAATAAAACCTCTCATTTCCAGAGGAGTGAGCTTGGGTGGTTCAGTCTCCCACTGTGAGCAGAGAGATTACAAGGACATCCTCTGTTCTATCATGAGATACCACATTTCTCAGTAAAACTGAATTATCAGGGCAAAGACAACCTATGTCCCAAAGGGCCTCAGGACCAAAGTCTACACTCAGAAGTCCTCAGGAGACTGACAGGACCCATAACAGCAGACAGGACCCCCACTGCAGAGAAAGGATTCCAGAAGGGGCTGGAAACAGTCACATCATGAGGAACGAGAGAGTTTTGAAGACTGTTGGTTTGAGAGGGGTCAACTCCTCACACCCCCACTTCTTTATGTGTTTCAAGGAGCAGCCAACACCATTGGCCCCTCACACAACAGCTCCAGTAACATGAGTGGTAAGTAGGAGAGTCCTCAGTTGTGGGGCTGGTGCAGAGGGTCCTGTCTGTCAGGGGGAGACTGGTGTGCTGGGTGGGCACCCAGGATCCAAGGGTGACTTTGTCTGTTCTGAGCTCTGTGATGTCTTTGTCCACATTTCCTAGACTCCTGGCCCCAGGACTACACAGTGGGGAATCTCATCCGCATGGGCGTAGCTGGCTTGGTCCTGCTCGTCCTTGGGGTGCTACTGTCTCAGGCTCAAGACAGCGAAAGAAGGGCCCAGGCTGCCACCAGGACCTGAATACAGAGGTAAAGGAGTATCTCTGAGAATGAAAGAGACTTGGAAATGAAGTCATGTGCTCAGAAGGTTTTGGAAGATAATCTGGGGCATGCTTCATGACCTGTCTGCAGATCATTGCACATGGAGGACTTGTTGCTCATATGTAGGGGGACAAAGTCTGGACCCTTCTGCCATTAAATCCAACCCATTTCCTCCCGACCACTGTTGAGTCATATGACCAGTTCCTACCTATTCCCAGTTCAGTTAAATTAGCGTTGATCCCACATGGCATGGCCACCTCCACACCTCCCTACACCTTCAGAAAACTTGTCCTTCTTTATGTCTAATTACACCTGCCTTGGTGTTTGTATGAAGGGCCCATCCACTCAGATCACAGCATGCAATCTATTTTATGTAAGTCAGTGAGCTGGCATCACAGAGATTCAGCTCACAAGAGATAAATCCCAAATAATGCCCTAGCACCCTCTCTGGACCCCAGATGCCTTCACCTGTCCCCAGATGGCACCTGTGGACTCTCCCCAGGAACCTCCTCACATGGAGTCAAGACTTTTTTCTCTCTACACTTGAGGATTATTTACATTGCTTTTTTTGAGAGATGAAAGAGAGAGAGAGAGAGAGAGAAACACTGATGTGAGAAGCAAGCACTGATTGGTTGCCTCCCATAGGTGTCTGGACAGGGGACTGAACTTGCAATGTAGGTATGTGCCCTGACCGGGGATTGGAAACCACAAGGTTTTGGTTATGGGATGATGCTCCAACCAACACAGCCACACCAGCCTGGGGGAAATCAAGACATTTTCATCTGAAGGGATCACCTGGGATGAACTGCCTGGGAAAACCCACTGTTAAACACACAGGACAGTATACAGATAATGTATTAGAGAACTGTACACTTGAAACCTATATGATTCTATTACTCATGTCGTCCCAATGAATTCCTCTTAATAAAACACTGGTTCTTGGCATTTTACCATTTCTGGTATTTATGCTCCCTTCATGGACAAATTCAAGGTGCCCCAGTGAGGTTCTGATGCACAGCTGGGATGTGAAACACAAACTGACTTTCAGAGACAGTACAAGCCAATGTGGGGCACCAGCAACACCAGTCTGAAAGACCCAGAGTGGGCCTCAGCTGCCTGTCCTTTTATGTGTAATGATGATTTCTACTTCAGTGTTGTGGCACCATTTCTGTGAAAATACAAGGCCACAGTCCCAACCCATGCAGACAATGGACCAAGGGGAAAACCCTTCTATCCCTTCAGGGAGAGAACAGTGAGCAGACAGAGTTCTAATACATCACTTGTAGAAATGCAAATTATAATCGCCAACTGAGTGGATACATTACACTTACCCACTTAGAGACACAGAGCTGTACCTTTGAGTACCTGCCTTAGAGAACTTGTGTACATGGGAATCATTCACAAGGGCGTTGATTAGGGTTCAGGTAGTTCTGGTTTGAGAGTTTTCAGGGAAGGTGTGAAGCATGAGGCAACAGAGCCCATTCCAATGGAAAATCCCCAACAGAAAGCTTGCAAGCTGTGTGCGGTGGGGTCTCAGGGAGTCACCAGGGTGGTAGGAAGAATGTTAGCCAGGTAGATAGAGGCTCAGATAGGGCACCTGCCTGCCAGCTGTGTGTAGGGAGGGCTCATTGAAGGAACCATATCCTGTGTCAGGACTTCTGTTTGCAGAGAGCTGTGCCCTGTCTCTTGCCCTGAGGTCAAACAACTCAGTTCATCCTTGTGTGTCCCTGGTTTCTTTCAAGCTGCTGCCCCAGTGCTGAAACTTAGAGGGAGTGAGTCTGAATAAGTCTGTGTGTGGTTCCTGTAGGTAGAAGTGCCTGGGACTCCAGCAGCCCTCGGACTCAGCAGCTCCCCCTCCTGACTTCTGTCTGCCACACATGGATGTGGGACCAGCCTGTTTTGTGTCTCCGAGTCTCCATGTGGCTTTTTCTTTACACCCTAGTGTGAGACTCCTGTTCAGCTAGAATTCAGGAACTTCTGGATGATGGTTTTCCTATAGTTTAGTAGTAATTCTGATGTGGTTGAAAAAACTGAGTGTTGTTTTTGTTTTGTTTTGATGTTTTGTGATTGTTTATTTTTCTTGTCCTTCAGATGCATCCATGTAGCACATGCCCTCCTTTCCCTCCTTTGTAATAAGTTTTATTTCTCAGACTTCTGGCCAAGATGGAGGTGTTGGTGGAAATACTGTACTTCCTCACACAATGAAGTTAAACACAACAAAGAATTAGAAACTAAAACACAACCAAAACAAACAAAAAATTTAACGGCACCAAAGTCCGACAACAAGGAACAATTCATCCAGACCAGTAAGAGGGGCAAAGTTGGTGGCTGGCAGAGAGGGGTCACAGCAGGAAAAAGCAGTGGCTGTCGGACTGACCGAGGTGTGCAGTCAGTGGTTGGCTAATCTCAAGCATGGGGTGGCAACAAGCTGACCCAGTGAGGGCGCAAGGTGGCTGGCCAACCACAGACACACATTCACACGCACATAAACCAGGCAGAAAGATGAGCAGTGAGACAGACCGTGCAACCCAGGGCCCCACCAACAGGAATTAAAAGCCTAAAAGCACCGATTGGAAAAACATTCAGGGGTTGAGGTGCTGGGAGAAGCTCCCAGCCTCACAGGAGAGGTCGTTGGAGAGACCCACAGGTTCTAGGAAGTACACAAGCCCACCCACCCTGGAACCAGCATCAGAAGAGCCCAATATGCTTGTGGGAAGTGGCAGAGGGGACCAAAATTCAAGAGAGAGCAGAACAAACGCCGCTGCTCCCTCTTTGACCCCACCCCCAGTAACAACCCAGCAACTGGGTTGACCCACCCTGGTGAACACCTAAGCTTTCGCCCCTCCTATGTAACAGGTGTGAAAAGACCAAAACATTATGGCTCAAGCAGAAGAACAGCTCAAAGCCGCAGAGCCAATACTTTTAAGCAACGAAGAGATAGCCAACGTATCAGATGCACAGTTCAAAACACTGGTGATCAGGATGCTCACAGAACTGGTAGATTTTAGTCACAAATTAGATGAAAAAAAATGAAGGCTACACTAAGTGTAATGAAGCAAAATGCACAGGGAACCAATAGTGTTGGAAACAAAATTGGGACTCAAGTCAATGGAGTGAACCAGAAGGAAGAAAGAAACAATCACACAGAAAAGAATGAAGAAACAAGAATTCAAAAAAACGAGGAGAGACTTAGGAACATCCAGGACATCTTTAAATGTTCCAACATCCGAATTATAGGGGTATCACAAGGAGAAGAGGAACAGCAACAAAAGGAAGACTTATTTGAATAAATAATAAAGGAGAACTTCCCCAACCTGGCTAAGAAAATAGACTTCCAGAAAGTCTAGGAAGCTCAGAGAGTCCCAAAGAAGGTAGACCCAAGGAGAAACACACCAAGGCACATCATCATTACATTACCCAGGATTAAAGTGAAGGAGAGAATTCTAGAAGCAGAAAGAGATAAGGGGACAGTCATGTACAGAGGAGTTCCCATCAGACTGTCAGCTGATTTCTCAAAAGAGACCTTACAGGCAAGAAGGGGCTGGAAAGAAGGATTCCAAGTCATGAAATCCAAAGACCTACATCCAAGAATGATCTATCCAGCAAAGCTTTCATTTAGAATGGAAGGGCAGATAAAGTGCTTCTCGGATAAGGTCAAGCTCAAGGAGTTCATCATCACCAAGCCCTTATTATATGAAATGTTAAAGGGACTTATCTAAGAAAAAGAAGACAAAAAAGATGAACAGTGAAAGGAGAGCAAACTCCCAGGTATTAACAACCACACGTACAACAAAAGGAAACTAAGCAGACAGCTAGATCAGGAGGAAAATCATAAAAATGGAGATCACAAGCAGGGTCAGAAACAAGGTAGAGGGAGGAGGAGAAGTGGGAAGAAGGTACAGAGAATAAGTAACATAGATGGTGGGGAAAAAATAGACAGGGGGGAGGGTAAGAATAGTATGGAAAATGTAGAAACTAAAGAACTTGTGACACATGGACTAAAGGGGGAAAATGGGAAGAAGGGGGTGTGCAGGGTGGAGGGGAATGAAGGGGGGAAGTGGGACAACTGTAATGGCATAATCAATAAAATATATTTAAAAATAAGTTTTATTTCTCAATAAAGTTGACATCAAATAGATTGGGTCACAACATAGATTAATAATGTATTTTTGAATTACTTCTGTCACTTTTTCTCACTCTTGCATCTCGCTTTCTCCAGTTTGGTGTCATTGTCCTTCTAACTGAATTAAATCACTTTCTATTTCTTTCACTGAGTGTGAAAAGATGAAAACTTGCTGCTCTAGAAATGCCTTATTTCATTCTCATTAGGTTTATCAAGGAACAAGGAAACACTTTCTTATTTCAATTAAAGTGTGTGATTCACTCCTCAAAGAGGAAAAACAGGCCCCCTGTGGTTAAGGCTCTCACCCCAGAAATCCGTTCTCTGTCCTGGAGACACAGCCTCACAGGGTGGGGTTGGGAGGACACACAGGTTCCCACTTAGGGAGTGGCCCGGATGACACATTCACCTTGTCCCTTAAAGCTAATGGGGCTCCGTGTACAGTCTTCACTAACACTCTGCTCCTGGAAGGTGTGTCCCCACTGTCTTCTGGCGTCACTCTTTGCTATGAGGAAGTCTGGTCCCAGGGAGCTTGTCACTATGGTGATGTGCACTTCCTCTAGGAAGTAATTTTGGGACTTTTTAGTACCTGAGGCCAGTCCTCCACGATTTTCTTTTTGAATTGAAATTCACATTAAAATAAAACCAGCCATTTAAAAATATTTTTTATTGGTTGATTTCAAAGATGGGGCAAAGAGAGAGAGAAAGACAGAGAGAGAAACATCGATTGTTGACCCACTTCTTGATGCGTTCACTGGTTGCTTGCTGTCTATGCCCTGACTTGGGATCAAGCCCACAACCTTGGATATTGGGATGATGCTCTAAGCCACTCAGCGACCCTGACAGGGCCTAAAATTAACCATTTCTGATGTGTAAAATTGGGAGTAGGATATGTTCTTGTGTTATTATTTGATCTTCATTTTTCTTCATTAAGCACAAAAAAGTCAAGATACAGATTTCATTTTTATATACCTGCTCCCTAACACTAGATTGGTCTTTCTTCATCTCGGTAAAATGTGGGATTATTTACCACATTTTGGGTAAATAAGAAGTGGGCAAGTGGGATTATTTATCTCTCGAGCTGTTACTAAATACCATGCTCACTTCTTTCTTTCTGACACCAGAGATATGACGTCCACCCTCCTCACTCTAGTCCCCAAATTCAGTCCCCCCTTCTTGTCTCTCTAGGCTGCATTCTGGAAATTTCCTCTGTATTGTACTCCACTGTCTAAATGGCCCTCCAGCTCTGTCTCATCCTTGATGGGAAGAATTGTTTTCATGTGTCTGTCTGTTGGGCTTTCTCATCTCTAAGGTTTCTAACTCATTATACTCATCTCCATTAAACAATTCATATTATTCACTCAATATTTGAATCCTCCCTTTATATTTCAGGTATTTACATGTGATCATCTTCCATTGCTCTCATATTTTTCTTCTCACTCTCTTCACTGTGTGTGACAGTCCCAAGTGTCAGGAGATGGCATCCATAGCTCTGTCACCATTAGAAAGTCTCCACTGTCCACTCCTGTAGGAGACTCTCCCCTCACACACTTGCTCTTTCTTAGATACTCCGAGGTTGTCTTGGGAGTCAGGATGACCAGAGGCTGTGGGAGATACCCTTGCCCCATGCCGTGCACTGTTGCAAACTCAGCACCTGTTCAGCGTTCTGCCCACCAGGGCTAGTTCGATCGGGGCCTCTCTCACACACACATGGGACAGATGCCTATGGCTGACATACTGGTCTCAGTCTGTTTCAGGACACACATGACAGACTGGTCACTGCTGACCATGAACTTGGGCAAGTGGGCAGAGACATCCCAGAGCCTGCAAAAAAACATGGGGCAGGGACCTCACTTCCAGCCTTCACCTGCACCGTGACCCCTTCCTGTGAAGTCCTGGGGTTTTTCTCTATCCACTCAGGGGGATCTCTTTTCTATGACCAGTGCATAGTCCTGGTCACTGGGGGCCATTCAGTTTCAGTCTCTGTTCTCCAATGTGGTTCCCTCTCCATTTGAAAAACGTTAATTTCTCTTTCCTGCACGTGTCTGACTTACACACTTTAGAGCTGTTGTGAGTAGCTGGGATTGTTGTTCAGAGCAGACAAGGTCTAGAGTGAGTGCAATAATCTTGCCCTTGACACCAGAAACCTTGATCCTCTCATGTCCCAGCCCACTCACATCCTCATCTGGTCTGGAAATGGAAGCCTCCCTCCCATGAACCAGCACCACTGACCCACAGCCTCTGTGGGGACTGGGCTTTGTGACAACAGAATCTAGATGAGGAGACTGAGGCTCAGGGAAAGGACATTAGAACAAAGATCACTTGGCAATGGTTGATGGTTATTTCAATAAGTATCTGCTGTAAGTAAAAATCAGGACCATAACCCAAATCAATGTCCCCTGAAGCTTAATGGCAGGACCTTGGCATTGGGAGAAGGATTGAACCAGGAAACAAAGGCACTGAGTGGGCAGGGATCACTCAGAGGCTTGTCCCCAGGAAGGTGGGTGGACGCTGTTGCTAAGAAAAAAGGAGAAGTCAGTGAGGGTGGCTAGGATAGAAAGAAAACCATAATCTGGGCCCAGGGTAAGATTGTGTTTCCTTCCCTAATTTTTCTGTGTCTGTTCTTTGTGCTCATTGTCACAGTGACACCGGCCTGAACTGCACGGTGAGAAGGACAACATGACTCTGCTGATGTGAGCTGTTCAGACACAGGTACCCCCATCTTCCTGAAGAATCTCCAAGGACTGGGTGACCACTGTGCATGGAGAGGACCCACAGGGAGGTGCTAATGGTCCGGCTGAGAGGAAAGGAGACCCTGTTGAGGAGGCTCTGACCTGGAAGGACATGCTCTGGGTCACCTCGCCTGCAAGGGGCATCTCAGGAGGCTGCAGATCAATTTCCTGCTTGATCCTGGAAACAACACTCAGGCTTCTGGGAAGACACTGTTCCTCTCCTTGTGGGGCTGCTGATGTGACATCACCGAGACAAATAGGGCCAGCCTCCCACTGTCCACACCCAGTCTGTCTCCCTGTTCTGAGGACACCGTGGTCTCTTCCTTCTGCACAGCCAGAACCACAGAGAAGACACCATGCCCCCCACACTCAGGGCCCTGCTCTGCCTTGGTGAGATGTGAGGAGGGAGGGAAAGCCCTGCTCTGTCAGGACCCAAGGGCTCAGGAAGCTCCTGGGGAGGAGGGCTCTGCTCAGTGAGGAGGGGACAGTGTCTCTGTTGAGCTGAGCTCTGCAGGCACAAGAACCCCCGTCCTCCTGGAGCATCTCCAGGACCTGGATGACCACTGTCCATGGGGAGAAAAGTGGTCGCCCAGGGAGGGGTTGATAGTTGGGCTGAGGGGGAAGGGGACCTCATGGAGGAGGACTGGGAGGCCATGCTCTGGGTCACCTCACTTGCAAGGGGCATCTCAGGAGGCTGAGGGTCTATTTCTTCCTCCATCATGGGAACAAGGGCCAGACTCATGGGGAGACACTGTTCCCCTTACTGAGGAGCTGGTGATGACACAACCTCATGGCAGAGATGGCCAACCTCCCAGTGGCCACACCCTATGAGTCTGTCTACACTGAGGACTCCTTGGTCTCTTCCTTCTGCACAGCCAGACCAGAGAGGAGACGCCATGCCCCCCACCCTCAGGGCCCTGTTCTGTCTGGGTGAGATGTGAGGGGGAGGGGAAGCCCTGCTCTGTCAGGACCCCAGGGGCTCAGGAGGCTCCTGGGGAGGAGGGTTCTGCTCAGGACTAGGTGCAAATCTCTCACAGGGACTCTCTTGCAGGGCTGAGCGTGGGAGTGACGACCCCAGTGCATGCAGGTGAGTCAGTCCTCAGGGGTCCCAGGTTTCTATCCTCACTGGAGACAAGGGACCAACTTCCAAGAAGGTTGAAAAAAAGAACAAATATGTCTGACAGATGAAGGATGTCAGGGATGTTCATGGGGTTGAGATCTGGGGCCTGGGGGTGGAAATGTCTTGTGACCCAACCTCTGATTCCTTCCAGGGACCCTCCCCAAACCCACCCTCTGGGCTGAGCCAGGCCCTGTGATCCCCTGGGGGAGCCCTGTGACTATTTGGTGTCAGGGGGTCCTGAAGGCCCAGGAGTTCCATCTGGATAAAGAGGGAAGCCGAGGGTCCTGGGACAGACAGAAGCCATTGGATCCTGGGAACAAGGCCAAGTTCCCCATCATGGAGATAACAGAGATCACTGCAGGGAGATATCAGTGTTCCTATGTTAGCCAAGGTGTTTGGTCTGAGCGCAGTGACCCCCTGGAGCTGGTGGCAACAGGTGAGAGGACACCCAGGGGTCACAGCCTCAGGCTCTGCCCTCAGGAAGAGGGATGCTCTCAGGGGCTCTCCCACTCACAGCTCAGCCCTGGGGGACTTGAGGAAGGTGTGAGCCCCATTTAGCACACTGTCTCCTTCTCTCCTAGGATTCTCCTACTACAGCAAACCCAGCCTCTCAGCCCTGCCCAGCCCTGTCATAACATCAGGAGGGAATGTTACTCTCAGATGTCACTCAGACAAGAGATTTGTCAAGTTTGTCCTGACTAAGGAAGGAGAAGACAGGCTCTCCTGGTCCTTGGACTCACAGCGAGACCCCAGTGGGCAGGTCCAGGCCCTGTTTCCTGTGGGCCCCTTGATACCCAGACAGAGTGGGACTTTCAGATGCTATGGCTGCTACAGGCTTATCCCCCAGGTGTGGTCACCACCCAGTGACCCCCTAGCGCTCGTGGTGTCAGGTGAGTCTCATTCTTGTCCCATCCATGTTATGAGGTACCACACAGGTTATTGGGGTCTTTGCTGGGAGGGGAGAACTTCTGAGAGGTGGGGTGAGGGTAGCACAGGGCCTTGTAGGTCAGAGAGACAGACCAGCCATAGAGATTGAGTCCCTCTGAGGATCTAATGCCCCTCAGATGTTCAAGGTCAGGCTAGAGTTTCAGGGCTCTAGGTGTCAGCAGGGAGAGATTTCAGGGAAACCAGGGGCTCCAGGGTCTCTGATGGTTTGCCCTTCAGCCCAGCCCAGTGAGGCCTGTGGAGGGAGGGGTAAGGGAGGCACGTGACAGATGAGGTGGTCATGGCAGAGGACAGTGTTAGCGGTCCAGGTGCACAGAAGAGCTGTGGGCAGAAGGCAGCCCCCGCCTTTGGCTACCCAACCTGGGCTTATGGACTATGGGTGGGATCCAATGGCAGAGGCACCCATGCCCCCTGGGGTCAAGATTTCATCCAGTATGTGGCCCCAGAGCTCCTGGTCTTGGGTGAGCTGACCCTTGCCCTGTCCTCTCTGAGCTCCAAAGTCACATGCAGTCCCTGTCCTCAGGAAAGTCTAAAGCATAATGGGAGTGTCAGGTGGCTCCACAGAGAAGGGTCTTCCAAGTGAGACTTGGAAGTAGGTGGGCATCTCCCACCCCTGGGACATCCTCACCCTCCAGGCTCAGACAGGGCTGAGAAAGAGAGAGAGAATGTCTTGCTGGATTGTTACACCAAGAGACAAGTGAGAATGGACTGGAGTCACAGGACAGAGTCCCAGCCCTCTGCCTTCAGGTGTCTCCATCTAAGAACCAGAGCAGCGCTGCTCCCCAGAGGTAAACACCACAGATAGGACCCCGAGGATAAAGGGCAGAGTGTGTGTGGACTCAGCTGCCCAGGGAGGTGAGCTCTGAGGATCTTTCACCACCTGAGTGAGGGGGGCGCTTCCCTGACAAAACCTGCAGGGGCTTGTGCATTTCTGACTCCCTGGGGCACCAGACAAGTGGCTGCTTTAACACCTGCTCCTGGTCTCACACTCTCTTGGATGGTCCTGTTTGTCCCCACAACTTGGATCTTGTACAGATGAAACAGCTGAGGGGGACATGGGTTGTGGGAGAGTAGGTGCCTCCAGCATCAAGGCCCAGCTTAGCAAGCAGAAAGATCAATATCAAGGAGACTAGGAGGATTTGGATATTCTCATGGAGGGTGTCAACTGTTCCCGCTTCCACACATAATCTGTGGGATCTTACACCAAAGTCTAGGCCCTTGAGTAGTTTGCTTGGTGCCAGTTTGCAGAATTTGGTGTCCAGATCTGGCTTCTAATACAGGGAAGATAGCTGGACTATTTAGGAGGAGAGACCAGGAGGGTTGGAGAGAGAACAGACAGACTCTTTCCTGGCCCTTCATTTCCAGACACCCTTAGTGGGATCTGCCACCCTTTATGGCCATCTCTGAACCCTCTCAGAGCAGGACAAGAGGTGGCTTGGGCCAAGGTAGGGCTGCTATGGATGATGGTGGAGTCCCCACTTGACACTCTCCAATGGGGAGAAGGGCCCCTACCTGTGGGCATCACTCTGCAGGCCCCTGGGCTCACCCGGAGGCCCCTAGCACTCAGCGCTCACCTGAGACTCAGGTTGGCTGTGGGGGACAATGGATGGCTCAGGAGGGACTGGGGGTACCTGCCCAGATTCGGTATGAAATTCATGTCTGCTGTGTATATTTCTGTCCACACCTCTCTATTATAGCATGTTCCCTGGGAAATTTAAAGCAATGCTTCCATACATAAATTTAAGTTATAAACATTTGTGACTTTCAAAAGATAATAGACTCCTATTTTGACTGTGATTCTGTTAAATTTGTCCCTTTATTATGAAAAGTAACCATTTCACATGGCCGCTGTGTGTCAGTAGATTGAGTGCCAGCTTGCAAATCAAATGGTAGCTGGTTTGATTCCCAGTCAGGGCACATACCTGGGGTGTGGGTCAGATCTCCAATAGGGGGCGCTCAAGAGGAAAGCACACATGATGTTTCTCTCCCTCTCCTTCCATTTTGAAATAAATAAGTAAATAAATAAACAAATGTTTTTAAAGAAAAGTAACATTTTAGTGAAAAGAAGGTTTTTTAAAAAAAAATAAATGTGCTTTACATGTTTTCTTTTAGACTTCAGATACATTTTAAAGTTGTTTTTTTTATAAAATTGTCTATATGTACAGCTCAAGAATTTTTTGAGTATCTCATACATGTGTATGTATAAATGATAGTAACCCATGGACTCTGAGTCCTTAGCTGCTGAACAGGTATACAGTCTCATCTCCAGAAGAGTGAGCTCTAATTGTTCTGTCTCCCACTGTGAGCAGAGAAACTACAAGGACATCCTGTGTTTTGTAATGAGACACCTCATTTCTCAGCAAACCTGAATTCTCAAGAAAAAGACAATCTATGTCCCAAAGGGTCTCAGGACCAAAGTCTACACTCAGAAGTCCCCAGAGGACTGGCAGGACCCATAACAGCAGACAGGACCCCCATTGCAGAGAGAGGATTTGAGAAGGGGCTGGAAATAGTCATGTCATGAGGAACAGGAGAGTTTTGAGGACAGTTGGTTTGAGTGGCATCAACTCCTCATGCACCCACTTCTTTTATGTTTTTCAAGGAGCAGCCGACATCATCCGCCCATCCCACAACAGCTCCAGTAACTCGAGTGGTGAGTAGGAGAGTCCTCAGTTGTGGGGCTGGTGCAGTGGGTCCTGTCTGTCAGGGGGAGACTGGTGTGCTGAGTGGGCTTCCGGGATCTAGAGCTAACTTTGTCTGCTATGACCTCTGTGACGTCTTTGTCCACATTTCCTAGACTCCCACCCCCAGGACTACACAGTGGGGAATCTCATCCGCATGGCCGTGGCTCTGCTGGTCCTGCTGGTCCTCGGGGTGCTGCTGTCTCAGGCTCGAGACAGCGAGAGAATGGCCCAGGCTGCCACCAGGACCTGAACACAGAAGTAAAGGAGCACCATTCAGAGTGGGAGAGCCTTGGATTGTGCCCAGAAGGTTCTGGAAGATAATATGGGACACACTGCATAACATGTCTGGAGCTCACTGCAGGTGGAGGACTCCTTGCTCATATGCAGGACCATGTCTGGACCCTTCTGCCATTAAATCCAACCCATCTCCTCCCAACCACTGTTGAGTCATGTGACCTCTTCCTACCCTTTCCCCTTTCCTCTTCCAGTTAAATTAGGGTTGACCCACATGGCATGGTCATGTCCACACCTCCCTACACTTTCAGAAAACTTGTCCTTCTTTATGTCTAATTACACCTGCCTTGGTGTTTGTATGAAGTGCCCATCCACTCAGGTCACAGCATGCAATCTATTTTAATAAATCAATGAGCTGGCATCACAGAGATTCAGCTCACAAGAGATAAATTTAAAATAATGCCCTGACACCCTCTCTGAACCCCAGATGCCTTCACCTGTTCCCAGATGGCACCTGTGAACTTTCCACAGGAACCTCCTCACATGGAGTCAAGACTTTTTTCTCTCTACACTTGAGGATATTTACATTGCTTTTTTGGAGAGATGGAAGAGAGAGAGAGAGAGAAACACTGATGTGAGAAGCAAGCACTGATTGGTTGCCTCCCATATGTGTCTGGACAGGGGACTGAACTTGCAATGTAGGTATGTGCCCTGACTGGGGATTGGAAACCAGAAACTTTTGGTTATGGGACGATGCTCCAACCAACACAACCATGCCAGCCTGGAGGAAATCAAGACGTTTTCATCTGAAGGGATCACCTGGGATGCACTGCCAGGGAAAACCCATTGTTAAAACCACAGGACAGTATACAGATAATGTATTAGAGAATCGCACACTTGAAACCTATATGATTCTATTACTCATGTCATCCCAATGAATTCCTCTTAATATAACACTGGTTCTTGGCATTTTCTCATTTCTGGTATCTATGGTCCCTTTGTGGTCAACATCATGGTGCCCCTGTGAGGTCCTGATGCAGAGCTGGGAAGTGACTCACAAACAGACTTTCACAGACAGTACAAGCCAGTGTGGGACACCAGTAACAACAGTCTGACAGCCCCAGGATGCACCTCAGTTGCCTGCCTTTTCATGTGCAGGGATTATTTCTAATTCAGTGTTGTGGCAGAGTGTCCACAAAAGTACAAGACCCAGTGCAAGTCCCAATGCACCCAGATGAGGTTCCAAGAGAAAAATCCTACCAGCCCTTGTGGGGAGAACAGTGAGCTGACAGAATTCTAATGCATAAATGTGGGAGTGCAAGTTAGAGTCACCAATTGGGTGGATACATTACACGTATCCACCCACTTCTGGTGTCACTCTTTGCTATGAGGAAGTCTGGTCCCAGGGAACTTGTCACTATGGTGATGTGCATGTCCTCTAGGAAGTAATTTTAGGGCATTTTATGACTCATACACCATTTTCTTTTTGATTTGAAATTCACATTAAAATAAAATGAACCATTTCAAATTTTTTATATTGATTGATTTGAGAGGTGGGGCAGAGAGAGAGAGAGAGAGCAACATTGATTGTTGACCCACTTCCTGATGCATCCATTGATTGTGTGTGTGCCCTGACTGGGGATCAAGCCCACAACCTTGGATATTGGGATGATGCTCTAACCTACTGAGCAACCCAGCCAGTCCCTAAAATTAACCATTTCTGTTGTGTAAAATTGGGAGTAGGATATGTCCTTGTGTTTTTATTTAAGCTTCATTGTATTCATTAAGCACAAAAAGTCAAGATACAGATTTCATTTTTATGTACCTGCTCCCTAACACTAGATTGGTCTTTCTTCATCTTGGTAAAATGTGGGATTATTTATCTCTTGAGCTGTTACTAAATGCCATGCTCACTTCTTTCTTTCTGAAACCAGAGATATGACGTCCACCCTCCTCACTCTAGTCCCCAATTACCTTCAGTCCCCAGTTCTGGTGTCTCTACTCTGCATTCTGGAAATTTCCTCTGTATTGTGCTCCACTGTCTAAATGGCCCTTCAGCTCTGTCTCAGCCGTCATTGGAGGAACTATTTTCATGTGTCTGTCTATTGGGCTTTCTCATCTCTAAGGTTTCTAATTCATTACAGTCATCTCCATAAAACAATTCATATTATTCACTCAAAATTTGAGTCCTCCCTGTATTTTTTAGGTATTTACATGTGATCATCTTCCATTGCTCTCATATTTTCCTTCTCACTCTCTTTCATTGGGTGTGACAGTCCCCAGTATCAGTAGATGGCATCTACAGCACTGTCTGTCCCTCTCAGGAAGTCTTCACTGTCCACACTTGTAGGAGTCTCTCCCCTCACATACTTGGTCTCCCTCAGATTCTCCAGGACTGTTCTGGGAGTCAGGCTGGCCAGGGGCTATGGCAGCTGCCTCTGAACCATGCCATTTACTCTCTCAGACTGAGTACCTGTTCAGCGTTCTGCCCAGTAGGGCTGGTACAATAGGAATCTCACACAGACACACAGGACAGACACCCATGGGTGACACACTGGTCTGTTTCAGGACACACAGGGCAGACTGCTCACTGCTGTCCATGAACTTGGGCAAGTCGGAGAGACATCCCAGACCCTGCACAGAAACACGGGGCAGGGACCACACTTCCAGCCTTCACCTGCTCCCTGACTCCTCTTCCTCTGAGGACCTGGGGCCCTCCTCTGACCACTCAGGTGGAAAGCCCCTTCCTATGACCCTTGGATGGTCCTGGTCACTGGAGACCTCTCACTTTCAGTCTCTGTTCTCCACTGTAGTTCTCTCTCTGTTGGGAAACTTTCATTTCTCTTTCCTGCATGTGTCTGTGCCTACATACTTTAGAGCTGTTGTGAGTAGCTGTACTTGGTTGATATTCAGAGCAGACAAGGTCTGGAGTGGATGAAACAATCCTGCCCTTGACCTTGGACACCTTGACCCTCTCATGTCCCAGCCCACTCACGTCTTCATCTGGTCTGGAAATGGAAGCCTCCCTCCCATGAACCAACACCACTGACCCACAGCCACTGTGGGAACTGGGCTTTGTGTCAACAGGATGCAGATGAGGAGACTGAGGAAGAGACTGGACATTACCACTCAAGGACACATGGACATTGGATGACGAGTATTTAAGTAAATATCTGCTTTAAGTAGAAATCAGGACTATCAAAATCAATGTCCTGTGATGCATGAAGGCAGGACCACAGCATAAGGAGGAGGCTTGAACCAGGAAAGAAGGGCACTGAGGGACCCGGGATCACTCAGAGGCTTGTCCCCAGGAAGGTGGGTGGATGGTGTTGCTAAGAAATGTGAGAAGTCAGTGAGGGTGGCTGGGACAGAAAGAAAACCACACTCTGGGGGCGTGTGTCTTTCCCTCACTTCCCTGTGTCTGTCCTTTGTGCTCATTGTCACAGTGACACTCTCCTGAACTGCACAGTGAGGAGGGGACAGTGTCTCTTCTGAGCTGAGCTCTGCAGCCACAGGGACCCTCGTCCTCCTGAAGCATCTCCAGGGCCTGGGTGACCACTGTTCATGGAGAGAACCCACAAGGAGATGCTGGTGGCCATACTAAGGGGAAAGGGGACCCCATGAGAGAGCCTCTGATCTGAAAATATGTGACCTGGGTCACCTCACCTGCATTCCTGCATCACCTGCATTTCTGCAACACCTGCATTCCTCGCCTGCTTTCCTGAGGGGCATCTCAGGAGGATCTGAGTGGGATAGTCCTTCATGAGAATGAGAGTGGGACTCCTGAGGTGAAACTGTCCTTCTTCCTGAGGGCTGCTGACGTGACAGCCCCGTAACAGTGACAGTCAGCCTCCCAGTGACCACATTCTGCATCTTCCACTTTAGGACACTGAGGTCTCTTCCTCCAGCACAGTTGGGTTCACAGAGAAGACACCATGACCCTCAGCCTCATGGCCCTTCTCTGCCTTGGTGAGATGTGAGGGGGGAGGGGACACCGTGCTCTGTGAGGATCACAGGGCTCAGGAGGCTCCTGGGGTGGAGGGTGCTGCTCAAGACTCAAGGCAAATCTCTCACAGGGACTCTCTTGCAGGGCTGAGCCTGGGCCTGAGGACTCCAGTGCAGGCAGGTGAGTCTGTCCCCAGGGCTCCCAAGTGTCATTCCCCACTGGGGACAGGAGGCCATCCCCTGGGAAGTTGGGGATGAAGAATGGCAGTTCTGGGATGGCAGATGAAGGACATCTGAGATGTTGGGGGTTGAGAGATGGGCACTGGGGTAAAAAATGTTCAGACTCAGCCCTTCATTCCTTTCAGGGACCCTCCACAAACCGACCCTCTGGGCTGAGCCAGGATCCGTGATCCTCTGGGGGAGCTCAGTGACCATTTGGTGTCAAGGGACCCTGGAGGCTAAGGAGTACCATGTGTATAAAGAGGGGATCTCAAAGCCCTGGGATAGGCAGAAGCCACTGGATCCTGGGAACAAAGCCAAGTTCTCCATCACACAGATGACAGAGCGCACTGCAGGGAGATATCACTGCTCCTATCTGAGCCAAGGTGTCTGGTCAGAGCGCAGCGACCCACTGGACCTGGTGGTAACAGGTGAGAAGACACTCAGAGGTACCAGCCTCAGGCTTTCCCCTCAGGAAGAGGATGCTCTCACGGGGTCTCTCACTCACAGACAAGCCCTCACAGACAAGCCCTGGGTAATGTGAGGGAGGTGTAAGCCCCATTTAACATGCTGCCTCTTTCTTTCCTAGGAGTCAACAGCAAACCCAGCCTCTCAGCCCTCCCCAGCCCTGTTGTGACCTCAGGAGGGAATGTGACCCTCCAGTGTGACTCTCGGGAAGAATTTGACAGGTTTATTTTGACCAAGAAAGGAGAAGACAGGCTATACTGGACCTTGGACTCAAAGCGACACCCCAGTGGGCAGGTCCAGGCCCTGTTTCCTGTGGGCCCTGTGACCCCCAACCACAGATGGAGGTTCAGGTGCTGTGGCTGTTACAAGAAGACACCCCATGTGTGGTCAGAGCCCAGTGACTCCCTGGAGCTCCTGGTCTCAGGTAAAGAAGTCTTATCCTGGACCTACCCACAATTTAGGCACTAGACAGGTTCCTGGGGTTTTTATTAGGATGGAGCCCCATGTGAGAGGTGAAGTGAGGGGAGCACAGGGGGCTCCTGGACCAGAGACACAGAGAGAGAGTGACCTGGGGCCAGGCCAGGAGGGTTCATGGCAGGAGCAGCCCTGTCACTCCTATCTGGTCCCTGCAGGTGGCTCAGGGAATCCCTCCCTCCTGACCCAGCAGGGCTCCATTGTGTCCTATGGACAGAGTCTGACCTTCCAGTGTCTCTCTGACATTGGCTGTGACAGATTTGCTCTGTCCAAGGAAGAGGAAGGACCTCCCCAGATCAGTCCTGCAGCCCCAGGCTGGGCTGCCTCAGGCCAACTTCCCCCTGGACACTGTGAGCAGCTCCCACGGGGGCCAGTACAGGTGCTATGGTGGACCCAGCTTCTCCTCCAAGTGGCCGCCCTCAGTGACCCCCTGGACAACCTGGTGGCAATCCTAGAGCCTATGGGCTCAGTCAGGGACCCAGAGTCTGCTCAGGCCCTGCTGGGGGTCTCAGGTGGTAATGGCCAGAATAAGGGGTGTGGGGTCCCCAGGGAAAGAGACAGAGAGAGACAGGAGATGGAAGGGGGAGGAGGAGACAGAGAAAACAGAGACAGACAGAGAGGAGGGTCCTCAGAAAGGGGCCTGGTGACTCTCAGGTCAGAACATGGTGGGCAGCAGCCCCTCACCTGCCCCCTCTCTCTAGGATGGCTCCCTGACAGACCCTCCCTCTCGGTGCAGCCTGGCCCCATGGTGGCCTCAGGAGAGAACGTGACCCTGCTGTGTCAGTCATGGAGCTGGAGGGACACTTTCCTTTTGACCAAGGAGGGAGAAGCCGGTCCCCCACTGCGTCTCAGATCACAGTCCCAAGCTCAGCAGCACCAGGCAGAGTTCTCCATGGGTCCTGTGACCTTGGCCCATGGGGGGACCTACAGGTGCTACAGCACAAACCACAGCAGCCCCTACCTGCTGTCACAGCCCAGTGATCCCCTGGAGCTCCTGGTGTCAGGTGAGACCCCTGACCCTGTCCTCTGTACTCTCACTGGGCCCTGTCCCTAGGAGATTTGGGGAGAGAAATAAATGAGGAGTGCAGGAGGCTCCACAGAGGGGGATCCCGCCCCTGAGAGGTGGAAGGAGACTGGGCCTCCCACCCCTGAGCCCCTGTTCTGAATTTCATCAGAGAGAAAGAGCAGCAGAGAGGAGTGAGGTGTATGAGAAGTGAGGAGAATGGTGATTAGACTGAGCAGAGAGGACAGATCCCCTCCCCCCGCTCACCTCCTGCATCTTCATCTCAGAGTCTGAGCACCTGGGGTCCCCCCTCCCCTGGGAGCCCAGCTCTGCAGGCCCCTGGGCTCACCTGGAGCGTCCAGCACTCAGTGCTCACCAGAGAGTGAGGAGGGGCTGTGCCAGGCTCAGGGGGAGCTGGGGGCTCCTCCCCACACTCAGGGCTCCCCTGTCTGCTCTGTGGTTCTTGGGGCCCTTGTCTGTTTCTGCTCCTTTCTGAGGACTTTTGGGCAGTGTGTCAGTGTACGGAGTCGCAGTTTAATTTACAGTATATGAAGTCAATGTTTAAATGTCTATAATGCTGTTCCTAGTTTCATAGGGAAGACTAAATTCAGACTCTTGTTGCAGAAAATAACTTCTTGTTACTATTAAGTCTTTGTATGACACACATTTCAAATGAGGGTTTAGTGAACTTCAGAAGCACCTTGATAGATATTTGTAAAACTGAAAAAATGTATAGACGACTTTCAGAATCACACATCTAAGAATGTAATTTGTGTAAGTGGCTTGATTCCTTTGTACAGTCTAAACAGTAGTAAGTACCCATAGAAAAGCTATTGGTTTGGGCATATTTATTTCCACACCAGTATAACTTCCTAAAATTCCTCCCTTTGGACTGTTTTTTAATTGATCTCACTGATACACTGAGAAAATTTTAAGAACCACAATTCAAAGGTCACATCACTTATTGCACACTGTATACCTATTTTTCTCCCTCCAGAGTCCACATGATAAGATGACCAAGTAAAATAGTTCAGAGCCTCATTTTTGAAAAAGTTTCGCTCATAACCCAAATTATTTCAAGGCGAACTCGTTACGATGTCTACATTTTTTATGGAATGCAATATCAGCCTTTATGTTTCAATGAGGGAATGTTTTGTTGGGAATGTGTTATTGTTGTTGTTGTTTATACTGACAGATACACAGTTCCTAGAAATTATCTTTTCTCTCTATTCATAACCACATGAAACACATTCCAAAGGCTTCCTGCTTTCAACCATTTGGCTATCAATGCAAATGAATAATATTTATTTTTCCATGTGCATTTTCTGAATGGTGTGAGCTGATATTTGAAATTTTTGTGTAGATCTTTGGAATTAGAATACCAGTGAATAATTTTTTTACATCTTGTTTTCTATATCAAGATGGGGGAAGCAGATGCCCATAATTTCCCACTTTTGGTTCTCACAAAGTACTACAACTTGGGGCAACTTCTCTGTTTCTGAAAGTGTGAAAACCACAGCTGTGGGCTTCCTTGGTTGACAGTGTTGATAAGCAGTGCGTGGAGGTTGTGTTTTGGGGTAAAAATCACATGATTAGCCGTCTATCCATAAAATCCTACCAGACTTCCTAGGGTTTGTCTGAAGGGAGAGAGAAAGTGACAGGCCTGCCCCTTCTGGCACCTCACCTGACTGCTGACCCCTGTGCCAAGGCCCTGAGTCCCAGCCCACTTTCTCCTCTGCCCCCTCCCTCCAACCCACAGAGGAGACTTCATTCCCCATTAAAGACCAGAATAGATCCTTCTGGGGACCTGCCTCCTTATCACCTCTTCACTTCAAGTCTCTTTCTTTGTCCCCACATACAACAATATTTATTGGTGCCCCACAAATATATGGAGATACAGGTGATGATATATAAGTTAGTATTTATGTAAGAGTGGATATGTCTGTAACTATACATACAGATTCACTTTATATGACATTTTACAATACCCTCCATAAAATGTATACAGACAGGGTGAGGATTGAAGTCCTTTGTATAAAAAATAATACAATAATTAATACTTATAACACAGTAAGTAACTCTGTGTTTCATGAATTCACAACAGTAAACCTGCTCTTGTCCCACCCAATATTTATTCTAAAATAGATACTAAATTTATGTGTCTGCAATATATCTACAAATGTTCATTCACATGCTCAAATATCTAATCTGGTAATTATATCTCCTGTGGTAGTTTTGTTTTTATATAAGAACAAATTAATAAAAAGAATGAATAGAGGAAATTTTCTAGGTGATGATTAAACAGCAGACCCCAGAGAGCAGAGGCCTTGAGGGATCAGGTGAAGAGGACACTGCCCCAGACTTTCGCCCCTTTGTGCGCCTGCCACTCAGGAGCCCCCCACACCACCCCTCCTCCATGGACTGGGACCCCCACATGAGGAAAACATGAAAATCTCTCAGCTCCAGGGAACTAAGCTTCTGGGGTCTTTAGTCTCAGATGGAAGCCAGAACAAACAGCTCTAAATTGTTCCTGAACTGAGACCCTTTTTTTTTTTCACTACTCTGGAGTTCTTGGGCACAGCTTGCTCTTGTCATGGTGTCTGGGAGCCAGAGCTAGAGTTGGATGTCCCAGGGATACTGACATCAAGGGGAGGGGAGAGCCTGGGGGGACACCAGAGTCCTGGAGATTTGGGGCTGCCTGACCATGCTGACCTCTGACCCCACATTTTGCAGCCTCCCAACCCAAAGACTACACAGTGGAGAACCTGATCTGCGTGGGTGTGGCTGGATCGGTCCTGGTGGTCCTCGGGGTGATGGTGCTTCAGGCTCGAGACAGTGAAAGAATGGCTCAGGCTGCAGCTAGGACATGAACACAGAGGGGACAGGGCACCATTCAGAGAGAGGGAACTCTGGAGCCCACCTGATGACCCAGGAGGAGGTGAAGGACAGTCTGAACACAGGTGGGGAAAATTGTCTGCTGATTTGTCCAGAGGAGCAGATGGGGCAGACAAGGTTTGGGGACAAAAAACATGAGCCGTGTTCCTGTGGAGACCCCTCCTCTATCCCACTGTGGGGCTGTCCCTCCTCATCCTCACTGACTCCCCTTGACTGTCCTCTTCTCACCCCTGTGACATGAGGGGCCGCCCCACATGGCTGGTTTGGGTTCACATCTACACACCCCTTCATGCTGGATCCCACTCAAATAAACAAATGTGGTGTCTTCATAACCCAGGAGGGCTTTTTAAGCCATAAAGACAAAGTACCAACACCAGCAACAGAGTGAATGAACGTCAACATTCTGCAGCTAAGTGACAGAAGCCACACAGAAAAGATCATGTTTCCTGTGACTGTGTTTGTGTGAAGTGTCCAGCAGGAGGAAACCCACAGAGATGGGAGTCAGGTGGGCTTGTCAGGGGCTGACGAGGAGGAGAAATGAGAGACTGAAGGCTCTGTGGTATTTGGGGGCAGGGTTACACAAATTCCTTATTAAAACAACATTAAAGTCCTGGTTGAGACAATCTGTGTGTTAACTACCTTCCAGTGAATTCTATATATTCAAAGGTTCAAATCTACGTTATGTGATTTTTACCTCATTAAAAAAAGGCAGGTCAATGGCCATGGTTCCCTGTGGATCACTTTTTACCTTAGAAGTTGCCCCACATCCCCAGGCAGTTTCATAGGAGGTAGGACTCCCACCAGGTCCGAGATGCCCTCAGTGCCCAGTGCTCAGGCTCAGCCCCTGGTGGGATTCCCGCCCTCACTCCTGAGTGTGGTGAGCCCAGGATCCAGGACGAGCAGCATCCTACCTGTCTCCCCTCAGTCTGGGCTCAACTGCCATTCCACCAGGGATGCCCTGTAGCTAATGATGCCCCCTGAGGGATTGGGGGATATATGTGCGGCTTCCAGGTAGCCCTTCCTCCCACAACTCTCTCATGCCCTTATCCAAATCAGGCCCAAGATTGACACAGATGGAGCCTCTTCATGTCTCAGGCTCTGCTGATCCTCACAACACCCATGAGAGCTGAGCTTCCACCTTAGTCTGCAGTGAGGGGAAAGAAAGAGGGGAAGGGACTGGCTCAGAGTAGATGGTCAAGAGATGTTTCTCCATGCCTTTAATTAAACCTGTGAATTGTCTGGAACTGGTGCCTTTGTCCAGTGACCAGTCACCAAGTGACCAGTGTCAGATGCTTGGTTACCCCTCACAGAGCAGAACAGTGAGGATGCAGATGTGCTCAGGGGCCTGGAGGGGACAGATGGAGAGAAGGTCTCCTGCTCACAGACATGAGGAAGTCAGAGGGAGAAGTGAGAGGGAGAGACCAAACCACATACCCAGCCAGGAGGGTAGGTGGGTCCTGCTGTGGGTCAGGTGACCATGTTGTAATCCTCTTCCCACCCCTGTGCCCATCACTGGGGTGGTCTAGAGACAGGCTACTCAAACAGATCAGACACACCCTTAGCTTTTTCCTCTCTTTCACCCAACACAATGAACACACCCACAGCTCTGACCCTGAGACCTTCTTTCTGTGACCCAGTTCCCCTCCACAGTTACACTCAGGTGAAGACCAAGGACATCATGTGGGTGTGACCCCAACATCCTCCTCTCTGGCCTCCTGGGCACCCTCACTCCCAGCTGAGGGGTTTACTTCCATGAACCTGAACTTGTCTGTCACAGACCCTTCCTGCACAAAGTCTTTCCACAGGTCTGTACGTCACTCCAGCACATTCAAGGGGGCACACCTGATGCTCCATGTTGTTGAAGAGGAGCCTGAGCTAACCTCTCCATCCCAAGCAGAGACAACTGATCCCTAACAACCAGACCCTTCCTGGTGCCCAAGTCTCCTCTCCAGACTCACAAACCTGGGTCATGGCCACACTGGGCTTGTCATGGGAACCCCCTGAGCCCATCAGAACAGAGCACACTCTCTGGCTGCACACCTAGACCAAGATAATGAGAAAGAAATGTTCCCACCTCTTGTCACGGAGATTCTATCATATTTGTGTTCTGGGATGTGTGTTGGGTTTCATCAAAAATTCTCATAGGCCACACAGAGTATTAATCAGCTCAGTACCTCGGTGTTAGATAAGGGCTGAAGTTTTATCACAGTTTATCATCCAGTCCTCACTCCTACAGCCTATTCCTACAGAATGTCATCTTCTCAAAGCAGCAACCTGCTCACACATTCCTTAACTCAAAAGTGCTCCTTTACTTGAAAGATCAAACCCAGGAGTTCCTGCAGGGAGCAGGGGCCCCATGGGACCAAGGCCCAGCACAGCCTGATGACTCACAGCTCTGACAATAATCAGCCTCTTCTTGATCAAGGATCCTCTGACCCCCCTCTGCTGACCCCTAGTGTGTCCCGGACCCTCTCTCACCTGCAGGTCCCCACACTCCATGGCGCCCACCAATATGGAGTCTCTCTGTGCTCCATTTCCTCCTTCTCTGAAACTTACCAACACGACACCCACATCATCCATTGCCTACATATTTGTACTGTCTGGTGTCACTAACCAGCACTGGGTGTGTCCAGGGGAGGAGTCAGTCACCTTCCCCAATGAACTTCATGCCTGGACTGGGCACCTGCTCAAGAAATATTGGCCAGTTTGAGGGATGGAGAAAGGCCGGAAGAAACTTTGCCTTTACGTTGTCTCAGGAAAAGGAAGTGAATTGCCCATGGTTACAAGGGTTGTAAAACAGGCAGAATCAGAAATGCAACAGGAACTGGGCTGCTCCTGAGTCCTGCCTGGCGTCCTCTGCCCTCATGTTCCAGGCTAGGTGTCACCCTCCGGATCTGGGTGTCACATGAGGTGGGTGCAGGGCATGTGGGGTCTGCAGAGACTGAGATCTGGTCTCCATGGTGCCAGGACCTGCTGTCTCCTCCACCACCCCTCAGGGAGGGCAGGTTGCAGCTGAGGAAGAAACTGTGACTTGTCACAAAGAGCCAGGACCTTGGTATACACCATGTGTGTCCATCTGTCCTGCAGGACTCAGGGACAATTTATGTCATCTGCACCCCTGGGAACCCTGGCAGACAGCTTCATGACCCTGACCTTCATTGCTCTTCTCTGTCTCGGTGAGTTCTGGGGAAAACAGAGGATGGGGTTCTCTGCACTCCCAGATGTAGGACCCAGGAGGCTCAGTGAAGGCACAGATTCTAAGACAAGATATCAGCTCAGCAGGGGCCCAGGCCAGGCCTGGAGCTTCTGTGTGTGAGTGAAGGAAAATCTCACAGGGACTCTCTTCCAGGTGTGTGTTGGGGCCCATGGCACCAGGTCCAGGCAGGTGAGTCCTCCCCCAGACCTCTTGCTTCAGCACAATGATGCCCCTGCACAGCTGGGGAACACACACTGGGTCTGGGCTGATGGTGACCAGTGTGGGAGGGGCTTGGAGTGACATCTGGGGAAACTGAGGAAACAAGGGCCCCTCCTGACCCTGCAGGTCTGATTCCTTTCCAGAAGTTCCCCCCAAACCCTCCATCTGGGCTGACCCAGGCCCTGGGGTCAGACAGGGGAGCCCTGTGACCATCTGGTGTGAGGGATCTCTGGAGGCAGATGGCTACATTCTGTTTAAAGAGAGAAGTTCTGAGCCCTTGGCTGTGAGCATTCCACAGGCCTCCAGCAACAAGACCGGGTTCCTCATTCAGTCCATGAGCTCAAAGAATGCAGGGCTGTACCAGTGTGAATATACCACTGAGGACACAGTGTCTGAGAGGAGTGAGCCCCTGCTCCTGGTGCTGACAGGTAAGGGGGAACCTGGGTCTACTCCCCACTGAGGGTTCCTCCTTTGAGAATGAAGGGGACAAATTGAGGTTTTAGGGGGGCCTCATCCCTCACAGCCCATACCTAGGGAAGTTGTGGTGATGGTCCCCTCTAACTCAGATCCTCTTTCTCCCTCAGGATACCACAGCAAACCCTCCCTCTCAGCCCACCCAAGCCCCATGGTGGCCTCAGGAAGGAGAGTGTCCCTCTTGTGCAGCTCACAGTCCACATGGGACACTTTCCACCTGCTAAAGGAGGGAGGAGCTGAGCCCCCTCGACAAAGGAAATCGGAATGGAAGTCCTATGCTACGAGGTGGTGGCAGGCTGTCTTCCCTGTGGGCCCCGTGAGCTCCTCCCATGGGGGGACCTACAGATGCTATGGTTCCAACAGCTCTGACCCCAATGTGTGGTCACAGCCCAGTGACCGTCTGCACTTGGAGGTCATAGGTGAGGTGGCCCACACTTGGCTTCAATTCTTTCCTGGGCCTCAAAATGATCTTAGCTTGTGACTAGTAAAGTCCTGGGGGATATTGGGGTCAGTGACAGGGGTTTACTGGGGACAGAACAATAGGTAGGACACTTAAGGAAGACAAAATAGAGCTCTCCCTGCAGCCCCAGGGGGAGGTGTGTGTCCTCTGGGTGACAATGACTTTCTCCCCAGGTGTGTACAGGGAGCCCTCCCTCTCAGCCCAGCCAGGCCCCCTGCTGCTGCCTGGAGACAACCTGACCCTCCAGTGTCACTTGAAGCCTGGCTTTGACAAATTCGCTCTGACCAAGGATGAGATGCCCACACAACCTCAGCGTCTCCATGGGCAGCACAGCCCTGACTTCCCCCTGGGTCCTGTAAACCTCACCCACAGGGGTCGGTACAGGTGCTACAGTGGACACAACCTCTCCTATGCGTGGTCGGCCCCCAGCGCACCCCTGGACATCCTGATAGCAGGTGAGAAGCCTGTCCTGCCCCATCCTGACTGTCTGCTCAGGGCCAGGCCCAGGGTCACAGTGGTGGTGATGGAGTCCAGGTCTGGGTCCTTGATGAGAGGCTGAGGGAGGCTGAGGTTTAGGGGAGGAAGGAACAGGCATAGAAATAAAAGTTGCCCACCAGACGACTGAGGGAAACTGACTGGAGTCACAGAGAGTGTCCCTGGGGAAGGACAGGGTCCCTCAGCTCAGGGTCAAGGACATGGAGGGAGAAGTGATTCTCTGCACATCACAGCCTTCCTCTCTCCAGGAAACTACAGGAAACCCTCCCTCTCAGCCCAGCCAGGACCCTCAGTGCCCTGGGGAGCTAAGGTGACCCTGCAGTGTCGATCTGAGGTCAGAGCTGACACCTTCCACCTGCACAGGGAGGGGTCCCTGGACCCTCCCCAGCATCTTCGTCTGCAGGACATGGCTGCCCCCTCTCAGGCCAACTTCACCATCAGCCCTGTGACCCGGGGCCGCAACGAGACTTACAGGTGCTACAGCTCACTCAGCTCCTCCCCCTTCCAGCTGTCACAACCCAGTGACCCCCTGGAGATCGTGGTCTCAGGTGAGGAACCCCATCCCACATCCACTGAGGGAGCAGACTCCATCCCAGGACAGGTCTGGGCTGGGATGGGAAGGAGGGCAAAACAGTGAGGTCAGCAATAGGGGGAATCCCATCCCAGAAAGACAAAGAAAGTGGGGAGTCCCCATGCTCTCCATACCTCACCACACCTGAGGGTCCATTCAGTGCTGGTAGGTGGACAGAAGACACTAAAGTGTGTGAAG